GATGACATAATGATACACAAATTGTACGTAACTCGTAAAAACATGGTAATTTTCTTGGCTCGGCATGCTTCCAACAACATTGGCATATCAATAAAAAAAAAAAATCTGTCAACCGCTTCCGGACCCCTTGCTATGTTTAAAATGGGTTGGGTGTGACGGCCATGCGATACTGTCGTCACCATATTTACTGTGGTACTTTTTGTAAATCTATGACTTTATGACAGCCGGAACTGGTTGAGGAGCGGAAAATCGGAAGTATAGATAGCTAGACCCTGACGCTGTAGAATGAACATGAAAACGTATTCGTATCGATAGACTATCTTGGGTATATCTCGGACCATGTCGCTCAATAAAGGAACATTCTCCTGCAAGGGCATTCCTGTCTATTCCTTTTTGCCATGCCCGTGAATTCTCCGTTGAAACTAACTACAACAATACATACTCGCAGTGCCAATTCCATTAGTTTTTTTTTTTTTGGTCTTGGGGTTTCGGGGCACAGTAAGGATCAAAATGACCCCAGACAACAGAAAATCGCGCATAGTTAGAACTGGGGGATATCGGCTAAGGCATAGAAACTTGCGTAAAATTGTGTACCAATTCATACATGTGGAGGCCAACTCGGCAGCCCAGTGCCGGTAGCAGAGACCTCCAAAGGAGAGTGGTATTGGTATCAGGGTTTTTACTTGTTTTGGGGCTAATCTGAATGCAGTGATTACCCCACTAAACCTCTTCTTTCTTGGTGTTGATTGGTTACAGCTGGAAGTCCAGTTGGATCTTTTTGGTAGGGCAAGGGGCAAAGACTGGTAACAAGCAAGAAATTACACTGAACTAACCCAAAGGGGAAAGAAAAAGGAAATAAAAAAAAAATAAAAGTTATGAAAAAAACACCAAAAAAGTCAAAATAATCCGAAAGGAATCATTCAGCGGGTCAAAAAGTACCTGTGTTATACCTCCCCCAGCAACCATTTTCAGAAGTATTCCTCCCTCCAAAATTAACAAACACGGGTTATTTTTTTTTTTTGAAAATACCATTCTCCCCAAGTCCCATTTAATTATTATTTTTTTTTAATTCCCAATTTTTCCTTTTTTTTAATTTCCCTCATTATCCACCTACCCACTCCGGTTCCCTCTTTTTGACCCCCCCGTAATCCATTATAAAACAGTCCTTCCTTCGCCCATCTAGTTTTTCTCATTTCCTCTCTTTACATAGGATCTGTTCCGACTCTGTCATACCGTCATTCCGTTGTCTTTACTCATATCGTTGGGTTCCAAGGCTGTGTGAGCCGAAGCAACAACAATGGCGGAGCGGAGAATTTCCTATGCTGTTGACGTCGAAAATGGTGAGCGTCACACCCGCGACGCTGGTGACGATGGTAACCTCGATGAGTACTCTGCGCTGAACCGGTACATCTCGACTGCCCGCGACAACCGTCGTGGTTCTACCTCGAGCGCCGGTGCTCTCAGCTCTGGCGAGGAGAAGAAGAAGCCTTGGTGGAAGTTCGGAGGCAAGGCTTCCGGTATCGAGGATGGTTTCATTACCCCCGATGAGTGGCTCCAGACCGACCTCCGCTCTGGTCTGAGCTCCAGCGACATTGAGCCTCGTCGCAAGAAGACTGGCTGGAACGAGTTGGTTACTGAGAAGACCAACATTTTCATTCAGTTCATTGGTTACTTCCGTGGTCCTATTCTCTATGGTAAGTGGCTTCGACATCCGTCTTGATTGACGCGTCTGAATGCCAATTGGCCACTAACACAATATTTTTTTCTATAGTTATGGAACTTGCTGTCCTTCTCGCTGCCGGTCTGCGTGACTGGATCGATCTTGGTGTTATCTGTGGTATTCTTTTGCTCAATGCTCTCGTCGGTTGGTACCAGGAGAAGCAGGCTGCCGATGTCGTTGCTTCTCTCAAGGGTGATATCGCTATGCGTGCTATCGTTGTCCGTAACGGCCAGGAGGAGGAGATCCTCGCTCGTGAGCTCGTTGCTGGTGATATTGTTATCGTCGAGGAGGGTACCGTTATCCCTGCCGATGTCCGCCTGATCTGTGACTACACCAAGCCCGAGATGTTCGAGACCTACAAGGAGTACCTCGCCAACGTTACCTCCGACGACCTCAAGGAGAAGCACGGTGATGATGATGACGATGATGTTGAGACCCACCAGGGTGTCTCCCTCATTGCTTGTGATCAGTCCGCTATCACTGGTGAATCTCTCGCTGTCGACAAGTACATGGCTGATGTCTGTTACTACACCACCGGTTGCAAGCGTGGCAAGGCCTACGGTATTGTCACTGCTACTGCTCGTCACTCTTTCGTCGGTAAGACTGCCGCCCTTGTTCAGGGTGCCCAGGACTCTGGTCACTTCAAGGCCGTCATGGACAACATCGGTACCTCTCTGCTCGTTCTCGTCATGTTCTGGATTCTCGCCGCCTGGATTGGTGGTTTCTTCCGTCACTTGAAGATCGCTACCCCCGAGGACAGCGACAACAACCTGCTCCACTACACCCTGATTCTCCTGATTATCGGTGTTCCCGTCGGTCTCCCCGTTGTCACCACCACCACTCTCGCTGTCGGTGCCGCCTACCTCGCCGAGCAGAAGGCTATTGTCCAGAAGCTCACTGCCATCGAGTCCCTCGCTGGTGTCGATATTCTTTGCTCTGACAAGACCGGTACTCTCACTGCCAACCAGCTCTCCATCCGTGAGCCCTACGTCGCTGAGGGTGTTGATGTCAACTGGATGATGGCCGTCGCCGCTATTGCCTCTTCCCACAACATCAAGAACCTGGACCCCATTGATAAGGTTACCGTCCTGACCCTCCGTCGTTACCCCAAGGCCCGTGAGATCCTCTCCCGCAACTGGATTACCGAGAAGTACACTCCTTTCGATCCCGTCTCCAAGCGTATCACCACTGTTTGCACTTGCGATGGTGTCCGTTACATCTGTGCCAAGGGTGCCCCCAAGGCTATCCTCAACATGTCTTCCTGCTCCCCCGAAGAGGCCAAGCTCTACCGTGAGAAGGTCACTGAGTTCGCTCGTCGTGGTTTCCGTTCCCTCGGTGTCGCCGTCCAGAAGGAGGGTGAGCCCTGGCAGCTTCTGGGCATGTACCCCATGTTCGATCCCCCCCGTGAGGATACCGCCCACACCATCGCTGAGGCCCAGGTTCTCGGTCTTTCCGTCAAGATGCTTACTGGTGATGCCATCGCTATCGCCAAGGAGACTTGCAAGATGCTTGCCCTCGGTACTAAGGTTTACAACTCTGAGCGTCTGATCCACGGTGGTCTCGCTGGTTCCGCCCAGCACGACCTTGTCGAGAAGGCTGATGGTTTCGCTGAGGTCTTCCCCGAGCACAAGTACCAGGTCGTCGAGATGCTCCAGCAGCGTGGTCACTTGACTGCCATGACTGGTGACGGTGTCAACGATGCTCCCTCTCTCAAGAAGGCTGACTGTGGTATCGCTGTCGAGGGTTCCACTGAGGCTGCCCAGGCTGCCGCCGATATTGTCTTCCTCGCCCCCGGTCTCTCCACTATCGTCGATGCTATCAAGCTTGCCCGCCAGATTTTCCAGCGTATGAAGGCTTACATCCAGTACCGTATTGCCCTGTGTCTCCACCTCGAGATCTACCTGGTTACCTCCATGATCATCATCAACGAGACTGTCGACTCTGCCCTCATTGTCTTCATCGCCTTGTTCGCTGATCTTGCTACCATCGCTGTTGCCTACGATAACGCTCACTTCGAAGCCCGCCCCGTCGAGTGGCAGTTGCCCAAGATCTGGGTTATCTCCGTCGTTCTTGGAATCTTGCTCGCTGTCGCTACCTGGATCATCCGTGCCACTCTCTTCCTCGAGAACGGTGGTATCATCCAGAACTTCGGTTCCCCCCAGGAGATTCTCTTCCTTGAGATTGCTTTGACTGAGAACTGGCTCATCTTCGTTACCCGTGGTGGAAAGACCTGGCCCTCGTGGCAGTTGGTTGGTGCCATCTTCATCGTGGATGTCCTTGCCACCCTCTTCTGTGTCTTCGGCTGGCTCGCACCCGACTGGGAGCAGACCTCTCCCCCTGACCCAGCTGGCCCTTACTTCTCCAAGAACAACGATGTCGACATTGTCACCGTCGTTGTCATCTGGGCCTACTCCATCGGTGTTACTGTCATCATCGCCGTTGTGTACTACCTCCTGACCATTGTCCCCGCTCTTGATAACCTTGGCCGCAAGACCCGCTCCAAGGCCGATACCAAGATCGAGAACATGATCGCTCACCTTTCCAAGCTCGCCATCGAAATGGAGCACGACTCGGAAGGCAAGACTCGTTACACTCTCGGTGCTCGCGCCGAGGAGATCGAGGACGACGAGTAAATGCTCGTTTAGCTTTTTTGCGACTCGTTACTGATTCGAGGTCTAATTTCTTTTATCTCCCTGCGATTACCCGCAAATTTTGCCGTGCCACCTACTTGAACATGCATGCCGTGGGAGTCAAAAAGGCCACCTTTTTTTCTTCCTTTTACCCGTATTATAGACTTTGTGTGTTTCATTTACCCCTTGGCTGTGGTTTGCTTTCGAGTTGCTAGAGTCATCTTTTCATTCTCTACGTGTATGTATGTCGTTAATAGTGGCACTTAGTCAATCTAAGGGATTCTAATCATTTCTTTCCTTGTACATTATAAACTTTGTAATATTATAGTCTCTTACTCTTGATCTACATCTACCTTGTCTCTCAACGCTCACAGGTGGAAGCCATTTCTCCGTCCCCATCTTTTCCCCGGATGAATTCCACGTCGAGACAAGCTTTGCCCGTAAGGCCCCTCTCTTCTGTATGTACGTATAGAGAACTACAATCCACTCATATCTGGATTTGACCCCGGATCTTAACCTATCTTGTTACTAGTCTTGCTCATGAATCTTTTAATTTTCCGTCTATAACTGGGTATTCCTATACAGGTCCCCCCAATTGCCCTATAAAAGAATAGCACAACCACCATGTCCAAGTAATTCAACCCAACACGATGCTCCCATATATCCTTCCCCTATTGGCTCTCCTCCTCATAGGAGCAAACACAACCGCCATCCACCCCATCAACAGACAGACCTGCCAATCCACCGGAAGCCATTGTCCCCCAGGAACCCTAATCGTCAGCCCAACCTCCAACCAAGCCACCCATAAAACCCTCCAATCCGCCATAAACTCCCTCCCCAACGACAAAACCCCACAAACAATCCTCCTCCTGTCAGGCACCTACATCGAACAAGTAAACATAACCCGCTCAGGCCCAATAACCCTCCTCGGCCAAACAACCTCCCCAAAAGACCCATCCCGCAACACAGTGCGCATCACCTGGGCCGCAGGAAACAGAGACAGCACAGGAAGCATCGACAACGTCTTCTCCAGCGTCCTAGTCGTAGCACCAACCCTCGAAGCAAGCCTCACAGGTGCCGGGCCGACGGGGTATCCCGTGCCGTCTGATACGCCATTCGGAAATACAGATTTCCGCGTGTATAATGTCGATTTCGATAATACTTGGGCTGAGTATTCGGATGGGCCGGCACATGCGTTGAGTCTTAGTCGTGCGAATGGGGGATTCTATTATTGTGGGTTTTATTCGTATCAGGATACAGTATGTTCTTACATGTTTAATCTCGATATCATTCGATTCTCATAACCCAACAGGTCTACATTGGCAAACTCGGAAACGCATACTTCTACAAAAGCATTCTAGCTGGCCAAACAGATTTCCTCTACGGCTTCGGCACGGCCTGGATCCAATCCAGCGCCCTCCAGCTGCGCGGCTGTGGAGGCGGTATAACAGCCTGGAAGGGGACGAACACTACATTGCCTAACAAGTATGGCGTTTATATTGTCGACTCGAGCGTGCGGGCGGCGAACGTCTCCATCGCGGCTGATATCAAGGGCTCGTGCGCGCTCGGTCGACCGTGGAATAGCCAGCACCGGTCTATCTTTGCACGTTCGTACGAGGACGGGAGTGTTGATCCACGCGGGTATATCGACTGGATTGTCGATGGCGTCGGGAGGTTCGAGGAGGGCGTAACACTTATGGCGGAGTATCGTGTCTTCGGGCCTGGTGTTAATGAGACTGGTCGTGTTGGTGGTGTTACGTCTGTTCTTGGATGGGAGGGGTATGAGATGTATAGTACTCCGCAGAAGGTGTTTGGGGATACGACGTGGGTGGATTGGGATGTTGTTAAGGGGAATTGAGATGAGATTCTTATATCAAGATTCTCAAACTGCTTCAATGCTTTACTACTACTTCCATCACTCTCCAAGCTCCCGCATCTCCCCAATAGCATCCTCCGAAGTCCCATAAGTATCCGCATACCTCCCCGTCATCCACTCATGAACGGTAACGGGGGGATATAAAGCATCCTGCCCACAGGGAAGACATCGGATCGTATAATTCGGATTTCCGGAGAAGAAGAACGGAACACTAAAGCGCTCTTTGCCACTGGTATTGATAACCCGGTGCAGATTCGATAAATACCGATTATTCGTCCAGCGCATCATCATATTCCCAAGATTGACAACATAAGCCCCCGGAACGGGTGTGACATCGACCCATTCAGACGTGAGGTTATTCCACACCTGCAAGCCTCCCGTTTCATCCTGCAGGAGCATGGTAATAGCGCCGAAATCCGTATGTGCGCCGATTCCTGTACTCGATTAGTGTGATGCATTTAGTATACGTTTGTTATCATGAGTTTCAGCTAACCTCTCTCAAGACCCGATTCATCAGCCTCTTGCGGTGGGTAATGAAGCAATCGGAGAATCGAGACGGGATGATCGCAGAAATCTTCGAACGCATCCTCTTCTAGACCCAGAGTCTGCGCCAGAACTTGCATGATGGCGACGGAAAGCTCGATCATGGCATCGTGGTACTCGTCCATTACTTGACGGAAGCCTTGTGCGTCAGTTAGTTCGGTGGGATATTTATTCGGTCCGTGGCCGAAACGGCGTTGGAGGACGTATTCATCGTCTAGTGGGACGTCTTTTCCGAGGTAGAAGCCTTCTTTGAGGTCACCTTTTGTGCGTTTTTCGAAGTTCTGGGAACGGAGTCGTTCGTATCCTCGGTTGAAACCGCCAATGGCTTTTTGACTTAGTATGTCTTTTGCTATTTGATAGAGTGGGGGAGGGCGAGGGTGGTAATACCTTGGTCGTATTTCTCTTTTGTTTCTAAGGGGAGGTTGAAGAATTCCTTTGAGTGTTGTAGAACTGCGGCTTGGAGTTCGGTTGGAATGGCGTGGTTGATTAGTTGGAAGAAGCCGAATTGTTCACATGCTTGTTTGATTTGCTTGATGAGGTCCTTTTTGTCGTTGGTATAGAAGGCTGGGAGGGTTAGGTATTTCGGAGTAAAGGATGTTGGGTTCTTACGGGAGAAGTCTATAATAGGGGGTTCGTTAGGGTTCATGTTAAAGGTATGGAGTAGAGAAGGCGTAAATGTGAGTTTAGCCCTTTTATATCTGATATACCTGGCCTTTCCAATAGAACGCGGGGAATTCCGATGTCGTTATCTTTGCCAAATGTACTTATTATCTGTTAATAAGTCCGAACATCCGAGAACTGTGTAATCTCCTGTCTAACCTATGGATGATTAGAGATCGCGTTATGTGTTAGGGCGGACAGAGACAGATTGGTATGCATGAACATGATCAAATTATTAGATGGCAGAAATAAGAGATATATAATATAGATCTATGAAAAAAGCAAATATCCAAACAGTAGGGTACACGTATGGGTACAAAAAAGAAAGGATACAAATACAATTCAGGAGTTCGAAAGAACACCATGAAAGGGACAGTGGGTATCATATGCGCTCTAATTAAACATGCTACAAATGCATGGGCGTCCATTCCTGTCCGGGGTAGGACGTGGGGGACATGATGACCTCCTCGCTAGAGTCATCCGCGGTGACAGCAAGTTCCACCGGCTGAGGCGTGTCATTGACTATACGTGCCTTGTCTTCATTGCGGTGAGGATGCGCCGATATGACGGAGGTGTTTGAGACGGCGATGTTGCGGGTTGCATGGTTCTCTGGGGCTGGGGATGTCAAGTCCGAGACCACTGGATTTCGGGACCGGATGCTGAGCTGAGGAGCCAGACTTTGTTGTTTGTGATCGCCTTGTGATTCGTCTTGCTGGCCTGGGTGGTTCGTACTGTTTTTCGGAGCTTGGGATACATCATATGATTCGTGTCGAAGGCGCCCCTCAAGCACGCGATCCTTGTACTCCTCATGTTTCTCCTGTTCCTGGTTCTCGCTCACGGTACCCAGCTGTGGGTCTTGGCTTTGAGTTTGCTGGGTTTCACGGGACAGTGCAGGTGCAGCTCGATTCTCATGCAATGACATGGGAGACGGTGACCGGGAATGACCCGTGAGAGGCTGGCTGAGGGTGCTGGCATGGCGAGAGGGGGTTGGGGTTCCACTCGTAGATCCAGATTGAAACTGCGAGTAAAAACGACCAGTCGTTAGGGAATTGGACGACGAACTGGGTGGAAGTGATACACTCGCACGTTGGCGATTATCGCGGGGTGGAGGTTTTGCGTAGCTCGGTTGTGGTGGTGGTGCCATAGGCTTGGGTGGCTGAGTTGGCAAAGACTTTTGTTCAAATGGATTGCCGAGGACCGGTGGATCATCCTGCGTAGCGAAACTAGTATGTGAATTTCCATTTGTCGACGGGGGTGTCGGCGGATATTTGAACTGCAGCTGTTCCGAGGTAGTCCTTGTGTAGTCGGTCGGTTTTCGCTCAGGATCTTGAGAGCTTTGTCGGCCAAATAGCCCCTATTCAAGTCAGAAAAAGAAAACGAGAGCATAATCCAGGTGGGACATACACTAATCCTGCTGAGCGCTCGCTTCCGCTGGCCCTCCGGGGCGCCTTGAGGCTGTTGCAATTGAATACCAGAAAGGAGATCTCCAACCGAAGCGCGTCGTCGCCTCCCAAAGTTCTTGAGTTTTCCAATAGTAGACTCCCCATTCTCTGCAGGAGATCCAGACTCCGAAGGTTGCGAAAGATCATTAGCAGGCGTAGATGGACGAGTCCCTTTGCCACTCGCGCTCTGTTTCCCGAAGCTGCCAAAGCTCAGCATACTGCTCCGAGTTCCCGGCGAGTATCTGACTTCGTTTCTCAGGGGGCTATGCACGTCTGGAGCAGATGGAGGAGGTAGGCCGCTGATCGATTTTCTTTTGGACTCGAGGATCTCAGCAGAGCTTGGAGACTCCATAGGATAGAAAGGTATGAATGACTTCCTCTTCTCTTGAGCAGATGAACGGGAGACATCAGAGGCTTCATCCACAGGATCCTCAGCCTTGCTTTTATACCAGGGTTCTGGTGTTACCTCATTTGCTATTTCTTGCAAAGGGGATGGGGGCTGCCTGTCGAGTTCGTCATCAGATGTACTGCCAGCTCGCTCGTCAACTCCGAGTGTGGAGACGGAGGGCTGGCGCTTATGATCCGGCCTAGGAGCAAGCCCGTTATCACTATCTTTGGGAGGAGGTGGAGGCGGAGTACGTGAAGGAGGCGGAGGACTCTCATCACACACTGGCCGGATTGACGGAATAACAATCTCCGGTATAGACTTGCTTGTCTGATGCTTCTGGCTGTCTATAACCGGAAAGGGGACATCAAAAGGCTCATCAGGAATGGCTGGCAGGCTATTTTCTGCAATTGGGGCGTTGTTCGCCGGCGCTTTAGTATCGGGTTGATTGCCGATGCTTTCTCCTTGTGGCAGCGGCTCTGTAACTTGGCGTTTCCTGCTAGGTACCTGGCTAAATGCATTCGACGCCATAGGAGTACTTGCAGACCTCTGAGGATGAGGACCCGTGGGCGAAAGGCCAAGGGCAGTTATCATCTCCTGCTCCAAATCTCCAGCAAAGGCAGACTTTCCGGGAACTTCAGGTTTAAGAGGGACACCGTTGGAAGTTGACAGTTGCTTCGGTTGCACAGTTGTGCCAACGTGGTTGTGCGACAGGGAGTTATCCCCGGAGTTGGTCGCCACGACACGTTTTCCGGCATTTTGTTCATTATGTGGACCATCTAGACAGAGACTAACCTGCGGATCAGGATCAGGCCTGGTTTGCTCTTTCAAGGGCAGACTGCCAAGGATGACAGAGTTTCGTAGAGAAGAGTTACCAGACACATCCGACCCTGAAGGGAAGGAGAACTGAAGGCTGCGGCGAGAAGTTGCGGTTGACTGAACCTACAGTATTACCAACATCAGAATATAAACAAATATAAAGACGGGGTGTTAGATTGTAGAGCAGATGCATCAATCGTGTCGCATTCTAGAGCTCAATGCCAAAAGTGCTCGGAATTACATCGTGGTATCCAGAAAATGAAGCAATGCGATATTAAAAGGGAAGAACATTAAAGCAACGACCTCCGCCGTGCTTATCCCAGTAAACTCGCTCAGACGAAGAAAAAATCAAGTATCTACCTTCTCAGACCCTCCACTGGGTCGGAACCTGCTTCTGCCCTTAGCAAACAGCCCCTTGGCTGCCCCAGTTGCCTTGCCACTAAACGCCCCCGCAGTGTGGAGGAGCTCCTTTCCTTTCTCCCCGACTTTCTCTTTGTTCATCACGGTACCGAGATGGCCCGATGGGCGTCTAACATGAGTGGCACTAGTCGGAGTACCGTCATTCAAGGAACCGAGACTGCTAAGAGCACCCAACTTCGGGAATCTGCTGCGGGAAGCATCTGACGGTGGCACGGTAGGGGAGAAACTCTGGCTCTGCTGCACCACGCTGGCATGCTCGGGGTGTTCCTGGATCGTAACCTGTAGCCAATGATTCAAACCAGTGTCAATCGTGGCGAACTGGTCGCGGGTGTGTTCGAAAGACTTGATACGCTGGTTGATAGAGGTGATACCGAGAATGTCACGGAATCCCAAAAGTTTAGACTCATCGAGGGATGAAGTGCCAGCGTTAGAAGGCACTTGTAGTTGCGGAGGTGGCGTAGGCGGCGTAACTCCTGGTCCCATAACTTGCTCGGGTGGTGTAGTGTTCTCCGGAATAGGTGGAACAATCGAAAGTCGAGGCTTTGCCACAGCACGCTGTGTATCGGACCCCTCATCATCAGAAGTAATCGAGTCGCGCGGCACGTCCGGTACTAATGGGGCGGGCGCCTCATGTATAGGCTCAGGCTCTTGCGTAGATAACGATGTAGCTAAAGGAGGAGGAGAAGGCGATGAATAGCTGCCAGGCATTTGAGGTGGCGCTGGTTCTTCCGAATCGGAGGATTCCCATGAGAACCGTCTTTCTAACTTGGGTTTCTTTGGCTGATCAACGATCGTCGATGAAGAGTTGCCAGTCGCGATTTGGATGTTCGCGTCAGGGTCTCTAGATGGCAAAGGAAGCGGGCCAGTCCGGTCTGCATGGCTTTCAGAAACGACAGACTCAGCAGGTACCTGCGACTGAGGCTGGGTGCTGGGCTCCGGGTCTTCCGAGGGAGTGGCTTCCCGACTTAGTGATCGGATGATCTCCTCCCTCAGGCGATCACTGTCGGTATTCTGTGGCGATTCTTCGGCTCCCATGATAGTGGGGATTTCACCATGCAAGGTATCGGGGCCCGACGCGCTTCCGAATTTGAGAGGGGCAGGCATATCCTGCCCCTTGTGCGAGTATGGCTGCATTAATGGGTTCTGAGGAGAGGTTGCTGTATCAGGCGATTCTGGTGATAATCCTTGCAGTGGAGGAATTGAGGACAACTCTGCATGGCCCGCCGTCGGGGTGTCCAGGTCTGTGACTTGGGGCTTTCTCGAAGGACTGTTGTCCGGACTAGGAAGGCTCAGGTCCCGGCGATGACCAGGGATAAGCGCAGGAGCCGCAGCAGGAGCGGCAGTCGCAGTTGCCTTCGGGGAGCCCGACTCATTAGGTTCCTCGATAATGGTAGGTGTTTTTTCATCAGTCATAGTACGAGAACCCATGATAGGGCTGATCGTCGAAGTGCCATCGCTGTTCGACCGCGCGAAACTAGTAGTGGATTGCGGAGTTTCCGGGACATCGAAGGCTTGATTCACTACCGATCGGAATCCCGCCGAAGGTTTGTGGTTCAAAGAGGGATCCTGAGATGCGGAGCTATCCTGTGGTAGGTTGGAGTCTGCACCACCCAAGAAATCGGCACCAAAGCTAGACATGCGCTTGACTTCTGGGAGACCCAAATCAGGGTCCTGCTGGTTTGTTTGAGGGGGAGCTCCAAACGCATCAGGCTTAGGATCATTGCTACCAGTGACAGGAGACTGCTGAGTCGCTTGTTCCTCGCGCATGCGTTTATAGAGGTCGGCCGGCCTTACAAAGGGAAGGGCCTTCTGGTTTCCTCCACCAAGGTTACCGGCCTTACTGTCAGTCTGATGCGACTCTCCGGCTCCTAATCGCCTCGAGGACAACTCGGACGAACTGCCAGTGTTGTGGGTGGCATAGGGGGGCCGAGGTACTGCGGGAGGCTCCTCCTCTTCTTCCTCTTCGTCGTCGCTACCCCAGTCGCCTCCATCATAAGAATATTGTTTCGCTTCCACCCAGCGTTTTGTTTTGGAGCGATTCACGTTTGTTTGGAAAGAGATCGGGGTTCCGCTACCGCTGCCTGCCGAAAGTGGACTGCGAACATTATGCGGGGAAGGGCTAAAATATGTCTTAGTATTCGTGCGACTAGATATGTGACAGAAATCTAGATAGATAGTCTTACAGTTTCTGGGCTCCGCGTTGGGTCGGGTCTGCCATGGGGAGCAGGATCAAGGGATTGAAGCGAGCTTTACCAGCATCGACTGGTGATCCCTGATAAGTTTGCACAAGAGAAAGCGCAAGTCAAAAGTCAAATAAGAAGACGAACAAGAGTTGTTCCCCTAACGATGGTGTATATGGGAGGACGAATGTGGCGGTTTGGCCCAACTTGCGCAAGGCACCGATCAAATGGGATGTGATAATTCGACTTCCGAGGTAGCGAGATTAGTGTACAAGACAAGTGTATCCACAAACAAACACCAGGATATCCAACTAAACCAAAGAGGATATTAGAAAGCTATACGAAGTACTCCGTACAATTGGATAGCATCCCCTGATTTGAAGTCAAAAGGCCCCCAAGGGCTAAAATTAGGTGGCGGTGCGGGGCTTATGTAACACGTTTCCGATTTAGTAACGTGGAGGAGGCGTAGATTGAACTTGAACTTGTAAGTTGACATTTACATCTTCCTTTGAAGTGTACGGAGTATATTTGTTTTGTTTCGAGTGACGTTGTACCTTCGGAGCTCCTCGACTACCTGCAACCGGACACATCTTCATCCCCCCCTTATCGATTGGAGATAGACACTTCACTTTCACCGAATTCGGCCTTTGTTAATCTGCACTTAATTCCTCCTCTTCGAAAGACTATAGCTACTCGTCTGTCCCTTCACGTCCATCCTTACACATCGCAAAATGACCGGCCCGTCGATACAAGATCGGACCAGCGAGTTCAGTGCTATCTTGGGCCAGGCCCAGAAGCGTCTGGGGACATCGAAAGTTGGCTCACAGCGCCAGGCACTGTTGACCGATGCGCAAAGACGACAGGCCAGTGCGTCACCCCAGGGTGCCGCACAAGAGGCGAAAGTGGCAAGATCGGAGTTCGCGCGACGGGCGCGAGATATCGGAAGGGGAATTACTGGAACAATGGCGAAATTGCAGCGATTGGCTGAATGTGAGTATGGTCACATTGCTCAAAACGACAGCATTCTAATCAGAAAATAGTGGCGAAACGGAAAACACTCTTCGACGACCGACCTGTTGAAATATCCGAATTGACATACGTGATTAAGCAAGATCTTGCTGCCCTGAACCAAAGCATCGCCGGGTTGCAGGCACTCACCCAAGCGCAACACCCCAAATCTAATCGCTCGAAGACAGACCAGGAAGGAGAGCACAATGACAATGTGAGTGAGACATGAACGGCCATGCACGGACAAGTCGCTGACCCCTTTCAGGTTGTTGTCATGCTGCAGGGAAAGCTGGCCGATGTAGGTGCCAGTTTCAAAGAGGTGCTCGAAGTCCGCACGAAGAATATTCAAGCATCCCGAACACGAACCGAGAACTTCGTTTCCTCGGTATCTTCCAAATCACACAGCGCCCTCGATGCGCAGCGATCAGACTCGCCTTTGTATAATACATCCGGACGACGGACACCCCAGCCCGGATATCAAGGCAACTCCTCCGACCTTTTGACCCTCGAGCCATCGAACCCTTCGCCCTTAGGGCGCCCGTCGTTCCAATCAGACCAACAGCTGATGATAATGGAAGAAGGAGAATCAAGTAACACATATGTTCAAGCCCGAGGCGAAGCCATTGAAGCTATCGAGCGAACTATTAGCGAATTAGGTGGCATTTTTGGTCAGCTGGCGCAGATGGTCAGCGAACAGTCAGAAATGATCCAGCGCATAGATGCCAATACCGAAGATGTGGTCGACAATGTCGAGGGGGCGCAGAGAGAACTAATGAAGTACTGGACTCGCGTGTCTGGCAATCGCTGGCTAGTTGCCAAAATGTTTGGTATTCTGATGGTACGTCGACTATTGGATTTCTTGTCTGGATGTCCAACTAACGATGATTATAGATCTTCTTCCTTCTCTGGGTCTTGATTTCGTGATAGACATGAATCTCCCCCTTTTTTTTCTTTGTACTGTATTATAATACCTGGCCCGTGTTTTCCGACAGATTATGGCCCTTCTGCATGTCCGCACTCGCTGAGCATTCCCATTTCTTTTTACTCTCTGGCTAGACTCTGGGATGTCGAGACCATCACGCTCTTTGTCTTTTCATTTTTCTTGTTTGCTCTTTCCTCTTTGTTGCTTGGGACTCTGTCCTTGAGAGTCCCCTGCGTAAATACACCTCTTGTACTATTCGAATCCAATCAATCGAGATCGTGGGATAACCATGTACCTCTTCTAGAAACATCCCGAAGCGAGTATTGTCATTATATCTACATTTATTTCATGTATCGAACTGCGTTATCACGTTCCATAGCTCTGATTCCGCCCACCCCAGCGAGGGTTGATTATCGAACAATTCCCACACAAGACTGTCATTCCATCCCCCAACAGACGGCGGTGCAGTGGTATCTCCTCCAGTGGAATCTGCATCCCGAAGACTCACCGGAGCTTGATCGGTAGCACGGCTAAATATATCTGTGTAGGGTGTAACTTGACCCTCAGTGTTTGCAGCCGTGTTCACATCAGAGAGCACAGCTGGCGGCTGTTCTGAACCGGAAGATTCGGGATTCCTTTTCACTAGAGGTGCACACAGGTCCAGGAATTTGGAGAATAGATTGTACAGTTTGCCAATCGAGACATTCGCCTCTGCAAATTGATGTAGGTCGTCGGTGATGTTTTTGATCATATTGAAGTCTTTTTCGTTTGATGTTGCGATCACATTACAAAACAGGACGAAAAACGGCGCGAGCGGGTATAGCAGCATTGTCCTGTTCAAAAGGTCATTAGTTTCGACTTGTCCAAGGTATTGAGCGACGGATTTGAGATGGCTATATCATACCAGGTCAGAAAATATGGATATTCGTCGATAGAATTGTTACGGCTTGAGAATGCTTCCTGTAAAGCTCGGAGAGTGGTGAGAGCCTCCCGGGCTGTGTATAGACAGTTCTCGCAAACCAAGCGGGACTTGAGTACCGAAGAGCGGGCTTGAATGATTGTTGTGAGAACAGAGTAGTAGTTGAAGTCCATTGACAGCCATTCGCGACGCAGATGGCCCCATGACTGTGAGAATTGCTGTTCTTGGCGGCGACGAACCTGGAAGTCCAGTTAGCAGGTATTCGATAGAGGATTTGGTTCTGTCACCCTCTCACCTGTTGCATATTAGAGTGAATTGTGTGTGCACGTGTCACAAGATCAGACAATATATTGGCCTTTTCGGTATCTCCTATTGTCTTGGGATCAAGCAAGATTTTAAGTACAGCACTCTTCAACTCTGAATACTCGGCTATGCCTGTTAACATGGCAGAGGTTGGTAGGTCAGGGTCAAGATGTATTAACTGCGTTGGTCTGACTTTTAGATCTGGTAGAGATGGAGGTCTGAGGAGTAACAGGCTGAGGATTTTGTCAAAGCCATAGCATGTATACACACAGGCATGAATGTTCTCCTCTATGTCGTTTCCAGGACTGGGATCTGTGATGTTGTGGTAGTTTAAGGAGACGATTATCCTCGAGGCTATTGCTATCAACAACCAGCAGCGTGTCATGTTTCCTAAATATTGCATCAAACGAGTCTGTCGCGAGTCAGAAATGAGTCAATATATGAGGAGTCAGACGAACGAGACCGAAGAAACATACCGCAGACAGAACTGTTTGAAGCAAAAGGAGGCTAGGTGCAGCTGCTAGAGGAATTTGATTCAAAATTTCTATAGCAGCGGCCTCATATCTCTTTTTGAGGGACCGAAAATGATTGCTCAAGGGCTCGCTCGTAATTAGAGGTGCCATTTTGGATATACAAGCCATGGCCTTTACCCAGACATTGAGTCGGTAGTACTGGAGGACTTGTTCGCATTCAGTGCCCTCGATAATGGCAAGCCCCATTTGCTCTACAACTTTGTCAGAGATGTGGTCAGGCCAGGTGATTGTTCCCTGGGAGGTTGTTTTCTTATCGGGTCCTATAAACGATCAGTATCGTTGACTTCTGCCCCATTCTAGGTGCTTTACCAGGTAGCATCATGTAGAGCAATTCCGGTGTGAGAGTAGGAGGTTCTAGGTTTTCTTGAACATCCATGTCTTGCATAGCTGCACTCTCCTCCCAATGTAGAGTCGGGTTGGACAACTGGCTGACAAACTTCCGCGCTGATTCAAGTGCTGTGCGTCTATCCTTGGATAGAGCCGGGTTACATTGGAGTTCATGCTCAATGTATTCTCTAGCCTCACTGGCATGGTGTGTTGAGCCAGGAGAATGTGCCTGGTGAACACTTTGGTGTGACACAGTATGAGACTTGCGGTGCTTGCTTGGTGGGGTCTGCAGAGGAGCTGTGTCATGGAGATCATATGCCCGCTGCCGTTTCTGTTTGTTATTGACCACCTCGCTGATACCTGTGAAGTTGGCTGAAGGCGATGAAGATGTGCTGCTGGCGGCGTGATGACTTGTTGGAAAGTATGTCGCCTCTTTAATTCTTGACTCTTCTAGCTTCGCTAATCTTTGGGTTAATGTTTCTAATCTTATAAGTGTCAGCTGTTGATTCTGAAGATGTGTAACATGGATTTCATATACCGAGAGACCCGGGGTCTATGAACCCGTGCTTGGCGATTGCGAAGACATTCTGCGCCTGCATCGGTGCAGTTCATGCAAGGATCTTGGCGATCGCATTTGACCTACAATGACCCTAGATGAGAATCGGGGAATCAAAGGATAAAACGTGAATCAAACGATTATACCTTCCGAGCATGACATAGATCGCACTGATGACTGATTAGCTTATATGGACATGTCTCAGAAATAGCGTATGCCTTCGCAATGCTATTATTCCGAAGAACTTACTGCAGACATGTTGGCATCGGAATTTCTAACGGAATTTCGGAATCAAAAGCAGATTAATTAATTACTTGTGACGAGGGAACTCTGCTTGAAGTCTGAGGTTGTGTGCTCGGCGCGTCCGAACTGCCGGGAGCCGAGCGGAAGCGGTTTAGCGCGGATCATGTACAACATATGTTGTACACGAAGGCTGTTGACGTTTGATAGACTTTTTATATTGGAAGATATATTCAAAAATAACTTGATTGGTAATCTTCCTACAATTTAAAACGTATTTCCGACAAGTTCTACCGAAATGTCATTCATCATAACGACCATAACAGTATTTACATTCCAATTTCACAACAGACCCATGGAGAACGTGCAGTTCTGTATCCTCAACAGTATGCGGAATAGCCCCTCGTCGGTCCATCTCCTTACACGCTGCTTTAAACCATACATGGTTGATGTTTGGCTCGAGGTTTGTTTCTTCGCCATGAGCACTGAAAGACGCCATGTAATCTTTCAAATCCCGTCGCATTGCCCATAGAAACTCCTTTCTATGAGACCATGTAGAATCATGTTCTCCCTTTTGATTTCTTTGGTCATCCTTCGCAATGGAAACAAAGAAGCTGACAATTCTCTCCATGGTTGAAGTGGTGAGAAGGAGACTGACCCAGCTTTCAGCGGAAGAATGGGAAATTTCCGGACCCATCAAGCGCTGGACTGTTGAAAATAGAAGCTGCATGCAGTGATGGGTTGAGAGAAATACATGCATATCGTCGAAAGGCGCATTTCGAAGAATCGCTTGCTGTCTTTCCATAGAAGCAACCGTCATGCTTTTGTGATGACCCGAGTGATTAGAGTCAGAGTCAGGAGATGCGGATGATTCCAAGAAGAATACCGCATAGGCTCTATATTTGAGTAAGTACGCTTTAAATAAAAAGTAACGTGGTGGGACCATACGTCGGATACAGAAGCTTGGCCTGGAGCGAAGCCACGGCTCTACTGAAGATAACTTCTTTCTCTGTCTTGGAAGACGACCACAAAGGCTGGGCAATTGTATTGGTCTCCAGATGATGCTCAACCACATGATAAGCCAGGTGGTAGGAAAGTCGAATGCAAGTATTCCAGCATCGTTTTAAATCACCGAGATATCCCAGAGAATATCCTGCGTTGTCATGAGCCACGCCTAAGCTATACTCAGGAGGCGGAGGAGGGAACAGCTCGGATATGAAAGAAATGTCATCACCCGGTGACAGGGTACCATTAATGCAATGGCTTTGGTGATGCCTCTGTTTTCGGACTTGAATGTATGCCCGTGCTATGGCAAATTCCAGCTTCGAAACCCGGTCGTGAAGTGCTCGACAAGAAAAAGTCAAAGAACCGATATCTTTCAGATCACATAAGGCTAGTATCGCAACAAAGATATGAGATGGGAGACGCTTCCATCCTGAAGCCTTAGGCACGGCTGACAATGAACAGCTTTGTTTACCTCTCCGAAGCACTTTTCGGACTCGGTGGAGAAAATGCGTCATGGTTCATACATTTGATGCATAAGCTGGAATATCCAAGGTCTAGGCTGTACTTTGGGAATATTTTCCCTGAAATTACCCATAAAGAAGACAAATAGATAAAAGAAAATATAACGGCTTCGGTTGTCGTTTTACCCTCAGACTGCAGAGACGCAGTGAGGTGACCAAATCGAGCATTGCACGAACACAATCAAATACTTTGGCCGAAGATGTGGAAGTTCGCCGAGTTTACCTAAGAATGTCTCGCGTGAGATTAAGCAATGGATTTTGAAACATCCGACGTCGGGAGATTGCGATGAAGTTGATGCCTGATATTCACGGCAGAAATACCACGGTACCGCCGGAAACGCCTTTCCGATCCGCGTCGTTTGCTCTCCTCAACTCCATCAAATTACTTAGCATACTAATCATTTATACCTAGCTGTATTGCTTTTTGAACAGTGTGATACAGAGATGTCTAGTCTGCATGGATTCTCGGTCGGGGGCCCGGAAAGAGACTCGTCAACCAAACCACTCGCATCATTTGCATGCATGGTCTGTCACAAGCGAAAGGTCAGATGCGATAGACAAGATTCACGTACCCCCTGTTCAAATTGTGCAAAGGCGAATGTAGAGTGCATTTATCGTCCTCCGCCACCGCCTCGTCGCAAAAGGGATCGAGAAACCAATGGCAGTGTATCTCAAGAACGCGGGAAACATATTAGACTTAGCACGGGATTTGACGGCACTTCCTCTGCCACTCAGCATCAACTTGCTGGGAGAGAGCAATGGGGCGAAACAAGGAAAGGTGGATCTGGGAGGATGATCATGAAAGGTGGTAATTCTATCTATCTCGACAAGTGAGTTGCGCTGTATTTTGTTAATGTCAGAGTTCTGACTTGCACATCAGCAATCTTTGGACAAGTGTCAGCAATGAGGTTAGTATTTTATGGCTTGCGCGTGCTGCCAATTCTAATTGCGTTTACTAGCTTCCAAATGCAGCAGACGTATTGGGCGACGAATCGGGTAATGATACCGATAACTTTGCCTATGATGTGAGCGACGATTATGCGATACTCTCGACATCTGCAACAAGAGACATTCTTACCGAACTCCACCCGAACGCTTTGAATATCTTCAAATTGTGGCAGGCATTTCTCGAGAATGTGAACCCACTCATCAAAATTATACATGCTCCAACTGTGCAACAACAAATTCTAGAAGCCATGAGTGATCTGTCAAAAGTAAGCCGGGAGTTCGAAGCATTGATGTTTGCAATATACTGCATCGCAGTGGTTTCCATGCAAGCAGAAGATGTCGAAAAGTCATTCGGAGAAAGCAAGAAAGCCCTCCTATCAAAGTGCAGACGAGGAGCCCAACTCGCTTTCAAAAATGCATCGCTTCTTCGTACATCAAGCTCAGTGGTGCTCCAGGCGTTTATGTTATACCTAGTATGTTAATATTTCCTTGACGAGATCTAATCCCCTTTAACGATGTTTCGGTAGCTTTGCATGCGTTCGTTCTCTGACCCACATACAATATGGACATTATGTGGCATTGCAGTAAGAATTGCGCAACGAATTGGGATTCACCGTGACGGGTCTGCACACGGACTTTCTGTATTCGAAACCGAGATACGCCGTCGTATCTGGTTCCAGCTCGTGATAATAGACGCCACGTCTGCACAATTCTGTGGTGTAGCACCAACGCCGCTCGCAGCCACAATCGATGTCCAACCACCAATGAACGCAAATGATAGCGATCTCGACCCTCGCATGACCGAGCCAGCCTGCGAAAAGCCAGGTCCGACAGAAATGATGTTTGTTCTAGCACGGAGTGCATTTGGAAAATGGCTCCTTCGTTTGTCAAACCAAGCCGAGGGCTCCAATACTGGACCATGGGCCTTCTTATCATCTTCTTCGATGCCCCTGAAAGAGAAGGACAAGACAATTAATGAACTTGAAGCACACATGGAAGAGAAGTTCCTTCGGCACTGCGATAAATCCATCCCGCTACATATGGCAACGACAATGATGGCGCGTTCGGCTATATACTATACTCGGCTGATGGCACACCACCCCCGTCAATACCAGGATCCCAACACTCGCATCTCTCAAGTGGAGAAAGATATCATCTTCGAGACTGCTCTCAAGATGATAGAGTATGCTGACTACGCCCAAAACAATCCAGTTGTACGGAAATTCTTGTGGCACATGGTGAATCACATGCCATGGGATGCTATAATATTCTTGCTGTCGGAGATGCAACACCGAACTGACGCCGAAGAGAAGAGCAAAGTGTGGCAATTGATTGGAAATGTATACTCTTCGCACATCAAGGCGATGAGCAAGAATGATCCAACGCCTCTTCACATGGCTATTCAAAATTTGATTGTCAAGTCATGGCGGACGTACATTGAAGAGTGTAACCTCAACAACCGCACACCAACGCCGTGTCCTACCATCGTTTCATCCTTGCTAGCCAACGCGCCCAAAATTTCTAACCTGCAACAGGAGGATGGAAACTTCCCAGCTGTTGAGCGTGGTGCTAGCCCACAAGACCAATCTAGACATGACCGTTCTAGTTCACAATTCGGATTGGAGGCCGAAACATTTGGTTTAATGCTTGGGGATAGCCCGAAGGATTGGAATGAATGGGACAATCTTCTCAGCAACTTCCAAGGATCTTTTACCGATGATGCACCATATCTGTCATGAGCCAAGCATTAATTTAGGCTGTCAAATGCGCTGTTATTTACTCAAAATGCGTTCATGCTACCCTTTGTCGTGAGTCAGGAGGTCTATCGGAAATTATCGTGTTCGAAATCCAAGGATACCCCAACATCGGGTACGTTGGAGAATCTCGCGCCGATCGGGACGCGACGCCCCGATGCTGTATAGATGTCTTGGCCCCCCCAATTCTCGGGCACGGCGACTAAACAGCCGAACAGCGAGGGTCAACGTTGGCTTTTTGGGGTAAATTTGTTTTCCGGGCGATGGTATCTGGTGGGTAAATTTTTATTTAAAGTCGGTTCCGCTTGGTGCACATTTTGGATATATGATCACCAATTTCCTACCTGCAATCGTCTTCTGCTCACAATATCCTTCCCTTAATACTCCGTACATTAATTCCACCTACATACCCTGACTCGGAAGATGATTCGAAAGATGAAACCAGAAACGGATGTTATTATTGTTGGCGCAGGCCCGACTGGCCTTGTCCTTGCTCTGTGGCTTCATCATCAAGGCATCAATGTCCACATTTTCGACCAGGCAGAGGCTCCGGCGAAAGAATCAAGAGCGATAGTTGTTCATGCTCGCATAGTAGAGCTGTATCGACAGCTTGGATTAGCCGAAGACTTGCTCGCACTCGGGTACAAGCTACCGGCGACAAATCTCTGGATTGGTAAACAGCACAAAGCACGCCTTGCGCTAGGAGAATTTGGCCGCGATTTGACTCCATACCCCTTCATGCTGAATGTACCACAAGACGACCATGAAAGAATGCTAGAAAAACGACTGAATGACTTCGGAATCCATGTCGAACGAGGAGCAAAATTGCAAGGCTTTGTGGACCACGGATCAAGCATCACTGCTACCCTGTTCCGCGAGAAAGACGGGATCTCAACTACACATGAGGCCTCATACATAGTCGGCTGTGATGGAGCTCATTCGGCTGTTCGTCGCGGGATTGGTGCCAGATTCGAAGGCGAAACATACAAACCGCTCTTCTACATCGCTGACATCGAAGGCAAAAGCGACAAGTTCTTCAATGGCGAAGGGAACCTGGTGTTCACCGATGAGACTTTCAACCTGCTAATCCCCTACGACGAGGCAGGCCATGCACGATTGGTTGGTATCATGACCCCGGATAACGATGACGGCGACAGTCGTGAATCACCAGAGCATGAGCACCGCATCACGTTCGAAGATATTCAACCAAAAATTATGCAAGCGATGGATATCGACATTACAATGGTCAACTGGTTCTCCACATACCGTTGCCACCACCGTGTAGCCGACAAATTCCGCAGCAATCGGGCGTTTCTTGTTGGGGATGCAGCTCACATTCACAGCCCAGTTGGCGGGCAGGGCATGAACACCGGAATTATGGATTCGATCAACCTAGCGTGGAAGTTAGCGACAGTCCTCAAACAGACAAACATGACCGAAGAAGCACAACACCAACTGTTGGATTCATATGAATCCGAACGCCGCTCCTTCGCCATGATGATAGTCAAGTCTACCGACACAGGTTTTACGACGTTGACATCAAAAGGATTCTTCCCATACCTTCTTCGACATTGGCTGATCCCGTATCTTGTGCCACTGCTTTTGAAATTCAATTTTGCGCGGACTAGAATTTTCCGAGGCGGTTCTCAGCTTATTTGCAACTACCGGGGTAGCCGTCTCTGCCGGACTGGCGAAGGGACCGTGCAGCCTGGCGATCGTCTCCCGTGGGTCGAAATCAACCAGGTGGACAATTTTTCCACCCTGCGAGATATTTGCTGGCAGCTCCATATCTACGGAGAGTCCCCGCAATTCGAACAGTGGGCCCAGAAGACGGGTGTGAAAGTCTTCGTCTTTCCCTGGCACGACCAATACAGCAAAGCTGGACTGATTAGGAATGCTGTCTACTTGCTGCGACCTGATCAGTATATTGCAGACATTTTCGAGGATCCGTCCGTTGAGGGGTTGGAGGAGTACTTCGCTACTCGAGGATTCACCTACATGTAGGTATAGGATAAGGCCGCTTAAATCTGGGATCTCTCCACTAAATTTTCATTTCCCAATTTCAATCGTTATGCTATCATTGTTATACCACGTGCAGTGTCAAATGGATGTCTTATTTCCCCGTTCATTTCCTATTTAGGAGATTTGTCTTTTCTCGCTCCGACTATTCCGACAGGTACTTTAAGATAAGCCTGCGTGTGAAAGCCACATAGTCTTCATATTCATTGGCAATTCAAAGCATGCGAAAAGGATGAAGTATGATTGGTGCCTTGGCATATATTAAAGTGCATTAGTGGATAATTTGATTGGTGTACCTGCGGGGCTAACCATGGAGGTGGATGTATATGGGACCCACACTATACTTCCCTTGAGAATCTTTCCGTCTTTGCATCCAATCTGTACAATGCGAATTAGCTATGACCATCATCGGGATGCATCCGAGTAGTTCCAACTCCACTCCATCCTGGCCTTCCTGAGCTCGCTTACCACTGACAGGCCGTGCAAAGCTCTCAGACTGAACATGTGGCAGAGACGGAAGCTTTTCATTTGCCATGGCATTTATTGTCGGCCGATATATTTCCCAACCAAACATCACTGCCGATGCACATATTATGCAGGGAGCGAGATATAAAAGCCTTGCAATAACCAAGGAAGTGATCTTCATCCTCGCTTCAGTACTCTCTTTACCACATCATTTACTGGCACGATGAAGACCACCGCTCTCATCTCCTTGCTTGGTCTGTCCGGCGCTGCCGTGGGCGCGGCCATAGACAAGTCCAAGCCCTCAAGCGAGCCCTTTGGTTACAAGTCTGGCTCAAAGGAGTCTATTGCCAACCTCAAGGATAAGATTGAGAACGTCGTCTGGATTCTTCTGGAAAATCGCGGGTTCGACAACATCCTGGGTGGTGTGAAGAAGAAGGGGTTGGACAATGTTGTTAACAATGGCCCTTTCTATAACCTGGAGGATGTCAGCAACCCCCAGAGCAAGAAGTGGCCCACCCAGCACAAGAACTACGACTCAGTTCTCAATGACCCTGATCACTCGCTCACTGGTACCAACTTCGAGCTCTACGGCCAGTATAGCCCTAACAATGAAGCCATTGCCAATGGCTCTTTGACCGCCAACTTGTCAGGCTTTGTCAACCGCCATATGCTCAAGTACCCCAAGATCTCTGCCCAGCGAGCAGTGGACGAGGTCATGGGATACTACTCCGAGGAACAAATCCCCACCATCGTTGACATGGTTGATGAGTTCACGACCTTCAACAACTGGCACTCCTGTGTCCCTGGTGTAAGTACCGTCCATGTTACAAACTAGCCAAATATATCAAACTAACCAACAACCAGCCCACTAACCCCAACCGTCTCTGCGCAGTCGCAGGTGTCACCGATGGCCACGGCAAGAACGACAACGACTTCGAAGTCTCCGCCATCCAGACCACCAGCATCTTCGAAGCTGCCTCAGAGAAGGGCATCTCATGGCTCAACTACGACGGCACCAACGGTGCCTTCCTGCCCGATTCCATGTTCTTCGACTGGACCGCCAAAAACGCCAAGAAGAACGTCGTTCCCCTCGAGAACTTCTACCAAGACGCCTACCTAGGCATTCTACCCCAGCTCTCCTACATCAACCCATCCTGCTGCGGTCTGAACACCAACTCCATGCACCCCTCCGGCAACGTCTCCTACGGCGAGGTCCTCCTGAAGCAGATCTACGATGCCGTCCGCACCGGCCCTCAATGGGACAAGACCCTTCTTCTTGTCACCTTTGATGAGACAGGTGGATTCTTCGATCACGTCGCGCCCCCTCTTGCCGTCCGCCCCGACGACAAGACCTACACCGAGAAGGGATATGATGGCAGCCAGTACACCTTCAGCTTTGATCGTCTCGGTGGTCGTATTCCTACCTGGTTGCTGTCTCCTTATACTCCCAAGGGTCACGTTGAGGGATACGGTACCGATCCCGCTACTGGCGAGTCTTCCGCATACAGTGCTACCTCGGTGCTCAAGACTCTTGGGTACTTGTGGGATCTTAAGGATATGAGTCCTCGTGTCGAGCACTCGCCTGCCTTTGATCATCTCATTGGCCAGAAGTTGCGCGATACTCCCAAGACCCTCAAGAACCCTCACGTGTTCCCTAATGATGTTTGAGAATTTGTTCTACAGATGGTAGTATAGATGAATGGTTGGACTCCATTTCTTGTCAGATGGGAGTCTAGAGTTTACGACGATATATGCACTGCAGATTTTGCAGCCTTCTTAGGGTTTTCCTACTAGCTTTTGGCTTGTTGAGTGAATTCCCAGTTAGTTCGAGATGATAGAATTAAAATACTAGTTTCAATTTTTTCTCTCTTTTCTCTCTTTTCAATGTCTTTAAAAAGATGTGTTATATGTCCTTGAACATCTTTTGAATAATTTGCTAAAAAGTGTAGAGCATAGTGAAGAGCACAACGCTTTTCTATATATAACCTGCAAGGTTAGGTTAGTTGAAGCTTTAGTGGGACATCTAGGTGGAATATATGGCATGAATCCTTGATATGTGAGTGATTGTCTTAATCTTCTATTGCGTTTTCAATTAATTGTAGTTTTCAATGTATTTTACCAAGCAAAGGAAATAACTTGAAGAAAGAGAGAGCAAATCTGTATACTTCGTGGAAATTGGCGCCTGAGGCAGACGCACTAAACTTAATTGGGGTGTCGATCTGGAGATTCTCGAATTCCGCCCGTTGGCAGCTGGCAAGTAACCTTCCCTCCGTTCTAACCACAGCTTCGCAACAAGTATAATGGCTTCTCCTATGAGATTGGCAAGTGGTCTCTTGACCCGAGCCACCCGCACTATTGCCATCGAATCCGCCTCAACACAACGCATCGTCCCTCTCCTCCGAAAGAACACCGCATCACAATGCCGAGCCTACACTCAAGCACAGCGCCCACGATGCAACCAACCCATGCGCACCATGATCTCCACACAGAACAACTTCTCAACTTCTGCCTTCCGCGCAGGCCCTAAGACAATGGGCCAGATGCGCCAGCGCAACTCGACCGGCCCATTCTCGTGGAAGGCCGCATTGCTCTTCGTGCTGACCGGTGCCGGTATGATGCTCTACTTCCGGGTTGAGAAGGCCCGTCTTGAGCGCAAGCGCATGACAGAGATGAGCAAGGGAGTTGGCAAGCCCAAGGTTGGCGGTCCGTTCGTCTTGAAGGATCTTGATGGGAACGAGTTTACAGCGGAGGACCTGAAGGGCAAATACAGCTTCGTGAGTTACCCGGACAATGGAACAGAAGAGGATCAGTGGATTTAATATGCCGGAACGGTTGTTTGCTGACACAATTTCGCTTCGTTTCTACAGGTCTACTTCGGCTTCACTCACTGCCCCGATATCTGCCCTGATGAGCTGGACAAGATGGCCGAGATCATCGAGAAGGTCAAGGCGGCTACCGGAGATGAGAAGCTCTTCATGCCCGTTTTCATCACCTGCGATCCCGTCCGTGATACACCCGAGGTGCTGCGCGAGTACCTGAAGGAGTTCCACACCGGCATCGTCGGCTTGACTGGCACATACGAGCAGGTCAAGCACGTCTGCAAGCAGTACCGTGTGTACTTCAGTACTCCCAAGGATGTGAAGCCCGGCGAGGACTACCTCGTGGATCACAGTATCTACTTCTACCTGATGGGTAAGTGCGGGCGGATAAGACGCTATAACCTGGGTATCTAGTTTCAGTATGCTAACCGTTTATCCTAGACCCCGACAATGACTTCGTTGAGTGTATCGGCCGCCAGGATACCCCCGAGTCTGCATCCAAGGTCATCCTGGAGCACATCAATGACTGGAAGCGGGAGGGAAAGCCACTCAAGACGGAGTAAGTGTCTTGCGCCAGGTGTATGTATGGAAATTGTACAATATAGTCATTCGAATATCTGAATACCCTACTCTTGCCGGAACTATTCCAAATGCTCCTTTTTCATGCTTATGTTCGTATACTCGTGTCCCGACCGAATTGGATCGAAACAAATATAGAGGCCCGGGGAACCAATTCTGTTCTGATAACCTATAAGATCCCATCAGCATTACCCAGAAACACAACTCAGAAAAACCACCAACCAGCCACAATCACCAAACCACCTAAAACACATCCCTAAACAGCCCCAGTCCCCAAAGCCCTCCCCTCAGCATCCCGATCCGCATTAGCCCTCCACTCCATCCCCCCATCAACAAACTCCTCCCTCTTCCAAATCTCCGCCTTCTCCTTACAAGCCTCAAGCACCTCCTCGCCCGCCCTCCACGCCGCACCACGATGTCCCGCACTAACAGCAATAACAATAGAAGCCTCTCCAATCGGCACAGTCCCGAGTCTGTGCGCAATACTCACGCCCTCAAGCCCATGCGTCTTCACAGCGGCCTCGGCGATCCCCGCTAGGGTCTTCAGCGCCAGAGGCGGGTAGGCTGTGTAACTGAGCTGCGAGACGGAGCGGCCTTCGAAGGTATCGCGTGTTGTGCCGAGGAAGAGGATGTTGGCGCCTGCTGCTGGGGATGAAGTTTGCGATAGGTAGGTGTTTGCGTCGAGGGTTTCGTAGGTTAGTGTTATGTGGATATTTTGGGTTGGATTGTGGTGTGTGCGTGGGTAGGTTTTTGGGTCGAGATGAGCTGGGAGTGGAGTTTCTGAGGACATTTTGTTTGATTGAGGTTTTTGAGGGAATTGGATTCGAATGTTGGGGACTTGGAGTTGTCCGCGGGTGACTCGCGCCCCTCGATGCTTATCTGCTGCGGGGATCGGTGGATAAGAGCACCCCGATCTGGGGAGTTGATAGCCTCGAGGACTATGGATTTATTTTGGTTCTATAAATCGACTATACTAATATATATGTGCTTGGTTTATATTCATTTCTTTTCATTGTAGAAACCAGTCTAGGTACAATTTATGGAGGAAGTGTTGTGTGGTCAACTACAGATCGCATATATATATCAGAGCAGCAAGACAACAGCCTCGTACGGCCGAAGTGACCACTTTTCACCGGAGAACCGCTGAGAAGCCAACTCAACACCTTCATAAGTGTTGAGCAAGACTTGCTTCACGCCAGTGATACCGTTGCTGGCCGCATCCCATTCCAGGGTCTTCTCTGTCCAGTGACACACAACCAGGATCTTCTGATCGCCGTATTGGCGAATATACGCAAAGACCTCTTGGCTTGGTTTATCCAAAAGTGTGAAATTGCCATACACAAAGACATCGAGGTACTTCTTGCGAAGTTTTAGCACAGTCGCCCAGTAATGATATGTTGAGTTGGGATCCTTGACTTCCGCTTCGGCGTTGACCCGCACATAATCGGTGTTGATAGACATCCAGGGCTTCACGCCAGGTCCGGTGAAACCGGCATTCTCGGCAGCTGACCACTGGACTGGAGTGCGACCGTTGTCGCGTGACTTCTTCTGATATTCTTGGAGAGCAATTGCTTGGGCAGCGGTGTCGTCCTTTGGGATTCTATAGGACACATATAGTCAGCCAACATCCACTAGTCCCACCAATAGAGTAGAATTACCTCTTCCAGTGATTCAGACAATCGATGTCTTTGTATTCTTCAATGCCCCACGATTTGGGCACATTCCTGGTTCCCAGCTCTTGTCCTTGGTAGACAAATGGAGTACCAGCCTGCAACGCTAGGGCAGTAGCCAACATCTTAGATGCGACCAGTCGATGCTCTTCACTGGCATTTGTATAACGATCAATAGAACGTGGCTGATCATGGTTCTCCCAGTAGAGTGCATTCCAGCCATCATTGTCGTACATGAAAGTCTGCCAACGCTCAAAGAAGTCCTTCAAGTCAGTGAGCTTCCAGCTGCCAGGCTCGAATTTGTCATATTTGCCATGGTCAATATCAACATGTTCGAAATTGAAGATCATATTGATTTCATTGCGGTCAAACTGCACAGCACGGAGCACCTCTTTCTCGTCGGTCACGAACGGCATCTCACCCACACTGAAGGCATCATACTCCTGGAGAATCTTACCAAGACCCTGGAGATATTCATGCAAGCGCGGGCCATTGGCGTACCACTTGTCTCCCCACTGCCAGGGAGTGCGTGGGTCCTTGATAGGTGCGTCGGGGAAGCTCTGTTCCTTGCTAATGAAGTTGATCACATCCATACGGAACCCGTCGCAGCCTTTGTCGAGCCAGAATCGCATGATATCGTGCACAGCCTTGCGGACGGGTGGGTGTTCCCAGTTGAGATCGGGTTGCTCGACCGCGTATAGGTGCAGATAGTATTCTTGGGTCTGCTCATCCCATTGCCAGGCGCTTCCTAGAGAGTCTTCATTAGATGGATATGATCAACCAGAATAGAAACACATACCCTGGAAATGAGAAACCCAGTTGTTGGGAGGGCGGCGATTGCCCTGCTCATCGTATTTGGCCGGCTTCCAGATATACCAGTTACGGTACTCATTATCTTTGGAGCTACGCGACTGCTTGAACCATTCATGCTGGTCACTGGTGTGGTTGACGACTAGGTCCATCAAGAGTTTCAGACCGCGCTGGTGGCAGCCGGCAATCAACTTCTCGACATCTTCAACTGTGCCATACTCATCGGCGATGTTGTAGTAGTCGGAGATATCATAGCCCATGTCCACCTGGGGTGATTTGTACGATGGACACAGCCAGACGATATCGACGGCGAGATTCTTGATGTAGTCCAGCTCGGAGATGATGCCGGGGATGTCACCGATACCATCGTTATTTGAATCCTTGAAGGATGCAGGCCAGATCTGGTACACGGAGCTTTCTTTCCACCAGGCGCGGTGGTTTGTATTTCCTGGGGTCGCCATGGTGGTTTGCTGGAAACTAGAGAGTTTAAGATATTTTGAGATGAAAAGAGAAAGAAAATCTAGGAATCTGGAATACCACTACCTATATATGTTGTGAAAACTGTTTAAAGACATTTGGAGCAGGGCCAATCGCTCATGGTCATCCCACCGCGGGGCAGATGCGGAGAATCATCGGTACTCTCAGCGATTGATATGTCGGCCCGAGATCATTGCCAAGGTGGTTGGAATGCAGCTTGGGTGGATATATTGAATCAGAAGCAACGATCTATGTGGATCGTCTCCACATGGATGATATGTTCTCCGTAACGGGTAGAACAATGATGCAACTAGGCGGGAGGGGTTCTTGGCGGACCAAGTTGGGGTATTTTTTTTTATATCAATTTAAATAGACCATATATACTAACTACATTGTTCAACATATAATAGGAGTACGAGTTCCGCATTGACTGACTGTTGCCCTGTATGCTGACGCAATGCAATATTGACACAGTTTAATATCGGTACATGGATGTAGATCATATCCATTATCTACAATTTATATATCCATGGATCGGTTAAACATATGTGCCAGTAATATATTTTGTTGCATTCGAATTGATTTGAATTCAGTACTAAGCGAGTCTCCACTTAGCACTAGTGCGGGATGTTGTTAGCCGATGTGAAATCGCGGTACCGATAGTTTTATATGCTCGAAACCCATTCCTTGAAAACTTGCGTTGATAGGAGAGGGAATGGCTCAGGGAATGGTTCCGGCTCACTTGTTCAACTGCATTTGCTTAGCGTGAATATGTACAGAGTGTATACAAAGTATACAAAGTATATAAAGTATACATGTATACGTTGTCCAAAGCCATGGAGAATGTTTGCTATTCCTGACAAGTATTCCTCGGACACTCCGGTCACGCTACCCGAATAACCCTAAGAGCCGGAGTAACATTGGAAGCTGAAATAGTCTTAATCCTAAGTGGAATCACCTCCTGGAGAGAATAGCCCTAGATGTGATATCGGAAGAACCACCGGATTAGAGGAGATCCGAGTTACCCCCATCCTTTGTTATTATTGTAGCTATTGATCTCGGAAATACTTCATTTATAGATGATGCCTTCTTACCAATACCTCCTCTGTTAGATACCTCTCTTTAAATGATGAACTATGGCGCCTACTTATCGTGATGAATCTTGTTCGGGCTTAGCTTAGGTAGTCGCCTATTAACTTCGCGCAATAATGATAAGAGGCTTTTGCACTATACATTTGACCACCTCAAAAAGCGGAAATATATGGGGTTGTACGGTGCTGAAAGCTTCATGTTCGTACTTGTTAGTTTACAATATAAAAGAATAGTCGGCCGTATAAACGGCCTGGTAATGTATTTCAGTAGTCTTTCATCTTTAGACTTTACTAGTCTTCTCAGATATCATTCTGATTGAGCATGTCATCCTTAGTCCAGGGACCATGCCACCGGAATAACCCTAAGCTCTGGAATAACATTAATACGGAGTCTCATCACCTCCGGGATAGATCCACCCTATATGTGATATCGGAAGAATCACCGGAATAGAGAATATCCGAGTGTCCCCCATCCGTTATCGTTATCGTAGCTATTGATGTTGGAGATTCTTCCCTCGTTGTAGATGTCTTCTTACCAACACCTCCTCTTTTGAATGTTTCTCTTGAATCATCAACAATGGCGCCTCCTTATCGTGATAAATTTCCTTCGAGCTCAGCTCGTCGTCCCTTTCCTTCGCGCAATCGTGATGATCGCGATGGCCGCATGTATGATGATCGATCGCGATCTCGCTCGCCAGGTAAGCTTCTCCCCGCACGTCAATGGGGTATGTCCCCGGAGACATATTCGTCACGGGACAATTCCTCCAGTTTGAAATGTGTCTAACTTTATTTGAATTCATGAATAAAGGTCGTGCACGTTCGCCTTATGGAAGACTAGCAGCCGATGACAGACTCGAGTACTCCAGAGACCGAGAATCTGGACAAAGCTACCGAAGCAATGATCTTGATGATTATCGCCGTCGGAACTCGCAATCGTCTTCTCATAGAGGCAGAAACACATACAGAGACCGCGACCGAGAGGGCTATCGAAGCGAAAGCGGCAATCGAAATCGAAGTCGCCAGTCCAATATGGGACAGGTCAGCCGAGAAGTCATGATGGATGGACTTCCAGTGAACATGACAGAAAAGGATGTGAGTGATTGAAATCATGCCTGCATGAGAGGTCTCATGCAGCTCAATATCTGCCTTGCCGAGAACAAATGCTGACAATGTGACCATACAATAGATCTCAGCTGAACTCAGTGCCTATCATGCCGACGGCCTAGAAGATATTCGGGTCATTCGTGATCGACAGACGAGTAAGTGAAACATCAGCTAGTTTGGAAGAAAGTGCATCGTTCTAACCTGATATGTTCTTCAATAGAGGTGTCACGGCGACGAGGCTTCTTGCGATTTTCAACTATCGAGGCATCACGCGCATTTGTCGAAAGCAACTACCCTTCCATATACTTGTATGGTCCCAACGAGAGTTCAACTAACGTGCGCATTGGTTACAGTCGTGAGAGGGAAGACCGAGGTCGTGGAAAAGGTGCAAGTGACTGGAACTGCGAGAAGGTAAGTCAACGCGGTGACCCCGGGGGACTTTCAACCTAATACCGATTGTTCTGCGCTGACAAACAAACACAGTGTTTTGCTCTCAACTTCTCCTCACGTACACATTGTTTCAAATGCAGTACCCCACAACCTGGTGCGTACACCTTCCCCATCTCTCATCTTATCCTCTTCCCATCTCTAACCATCCAAGCAGACATGATTTTCGATACTGGCCCACCTGGCGTTCCGCCTCCCAAGATAGTCAACAATGGTGACAACGATGCATCTCCTGAGAACCAACCTTCCCAGTTCCTCCTAATTCGCGGTCTGGAGGCGTCTGTTACGGAGGAGCTGCTTGCAAAAGGAGTTTCTAAACTCTACCGGCCATCTGGCAACAATGATAGCGCCCCTGATCATCAAAAGAAGGGATCGAAGGTAGCCTCAACGACTGGTAACAGCAGCCTGGGAGCGCGCGAAGGCTCTCTCCGTCGCGTGCTCCTTGTACGTGATCGCGCAACCCACGCAAGCTGGCGTTACGGATTCGCAGAATTTGCTGGAGTCAATGTAAGCTCATTTTGTTCATCTTTTATATTGTTTTCATGTCTAACGTTTGGCTTTTCAGGATGCACAAGCTGCGATGACGCGGTTCAAGTCTTTAGACAAATTCACTATCTCCTCGAAGCCGGCGTTCGTCACTTACATCCACGGTGGAGTGTTCGTTCCAGTTATGAACCCCTCGTCTGGACCTAGCTACTACACATTCAGCGCGTCCAATAACCCCTCGCTGCAGTTGATGTATTGGGATAACGGAGCATACGTGACGGAACTCAAGCTGTCAACCGTGGAAGACGATACCGCTACTAACAAGACAATTTCTAACCATGGAGACGCCAAATCCAAGGGCACGAAGGACTCCGATAAAGGCAAAAAAAGAAAAGTTGATGCCACCACCGGCACGAATGCCAAGAAACTTGCAATGCCAACCCAGCTGAAATTCTGGAGTAACCGCCACGCAGAGCTTCATGGGATCAACAGAGATGGTGCTGGAAACCCCGCGGAGGGCTCGAGCTCAGCAACTCCGGCGATTAAAACGGCTACTGAAGCGGCCATTGAAACGGCCGATCGACCGGCCCCATCATTTGCAGATTACAAAAGGCTCGCCTGCCTCTTGTGCACACGGGAGGGTTTTACGTCCGCAGAACAACTCGACCTACACGAGCGAGAAAGTGAACTCCACAAGAAAAATCTGAAGGATGTCAAAGCGAGACAATGGGGCGTCTGCTTTATGATGATGCTTGGTGTCATCCCAGTGCATACTCCGAATTATGAAGGCAGCAAGGACGAGTATCGTGACAAAATTGAACGGGAGTATTCCATCCCACCGTCCGCTCGATCCTTCGCAGACCTCAAGCGAATCGGGTGCGTCTTGTGCTTAGCCCAGCTTGATACACCCGCAAAGCTCCTCACCCACGACCGCCTGAGTGAATACCACCGAGAACAACTGACTAAGAAAGAGGCGGTCAAATTCGGCGAGAACCAGCTCAGACTGGCTGGTATCGCACAGGCGCGCCCAGAATACCGCGACCGAGCAAAGGAGCGTCGCAAGGCGCTCGGTGATGATTCCAATCCCCGCCGGAGACCCTCCGTAGCAGAGGAGGAGGAAGAGACCCCCGCGCAGACAACCTCGATCGGTGCTACTCTTCTCACCAAGATGGGCTGGTCTGAAGGATCTGGCCTTGGTGCCCAAGGAACCGGCGTGACCCAGCCGATTCCTACTGAAATCTATGCCCAGGGTGTAGGCCTGGGTGCCCAGGGGGGTCGGCTGGGCGACGCAGTTGAGGAGGCTGGTCGGAAGACCAGGAATCGCTACGACGAATTCCTGGAGAAGACCAAGAGCGTCGCCCGCCAGCGCTACGAGGATCTGGACCGTTCCTGATTAACTCAGGACGGTTGAATGTACGATTAGGGTGGGGTGAAGGGGATATGAAGTGAGAGTGAGGGGGGGGGGATATGCTGATAACGTTGTGTGCCACAACTGGGTGGCCGAGTACATGTAAGAATAATGATAATGAATTTCTTTATGACTACATGATTTCCATTGTAATCGGTAAACTATGCTCAGTAAATAGACAATGTAATGTACAGCTGGTATCAAATCATGAGTAGGGTGTAGTTGGTATGTGTAAGTATTTTGACAAGTCCCTTCAGTTCAGTTCGCCTTGTCCTGACTCGCCTTATCCTCACCGAGTCCCCTCTTCATCTTCTCCTTTTCCAACTGCTTCTCAAACTTATCACCAAGGATCTTCGAAACCCACTGACTAACTTCCTCCTCAAGCTCCTCATCACTCTTCACAGGCGTATCGCTACCACCCTGCAACCCATTTCGCACGAATCTCCGCATATCCTCAAGCCCATTAATATTCAGCGCATACCCAACCGCACCGCCAGCCATCAGTCCAAATGAGATCACATTCAGAGTAGCCAGATTCAGAGCCTCGAACGCATCGCCCGCGGAGTTCGAGTGGGGCTGGTGGTATACCGAGCTTGTGTAGAAAGGCGGGATGCACGCAATGCGTTTCTTATGGAAAGCGCGACGTGTGACTAATACCGAAAGCGCGAAGAAAGTCATTCCTCCGAAGAAGAGTTTGAGGTTTGTGTTTGTTTGAGGAGAGGCTGGTTGTGCTAATTGTGTTTGTGCTGGTGGTGCTGGAGTTGTGGGTTCGGGTGTTGGCTTTTCTTCTGGTGTGACCTGGCTCGACTCGGGTTTTGGGCTTGAGCCCCAGCCAAATAGCGAGACCATTGTTATGCGCGGTGTGTGTGAGAATGAGGATCGTGTGAGTCCGAAGGTAAGGGTAGAGCTGGATGGGCTGGAAAAGGAAAAAGATGCCGAAGGAGCGCAAGTTGCACAGTCAAATGGGACTGGGTGGTTGGATATAGGTTCTTCGGGAATAACTCAAAGAACACTGCAATTATGTGGGTGTAGTTGTTCTGTTGCTACTGAAGCAAATCAGTGCGGAGAAGACATTGCAGATCCCCTTACACGTGACCTGGTTTTCACCGAGAAGCTTCCAAAGCTGCCTTGATATGACGACTTGGTGGACATTTGACTCATAATTATGTGGAACAACAGTGCTATCAAATGACAGCAAAAACTTCTGATTCTAGGATGTACGAAGCGACTAATGGCTACCTCATAGATGAGGCCGAGTGTTAATCAGAGCTCTTAGGGCTAGACAACCGGCTGACTCGGATATCTCATTCAACAAGCCTAATACATAGCAATTGCGATAGTATAGTGCGGAAGGTCGAGTATAGGATGGAAATTAGCTATCAGCCAATCCTATGATAAATGTTCTTACATTTATTTCTCATAACAGAAGCTCGAGACATTTTGGCTGACATTCTGTCCTCGCGCGATTGATTCAAAACGGAGACTGTAGATATAGGCTGTCATTGAACGAATTATCTTCTATGTATCAGCAAAACCAAACGCCGATCCAGGATACTGAATCGGAAGTGTATAAAGTATACAAAAAAACGCCGAGAATGCAACTGTCAGAATAAAATAACCCAAACCGAAATCGATCAAAAACATTCCAAAATCATTTTCATATGTTCATAATTCAGTGCGCTTCCAAACGATCATCAATATACTGTGCTCGTAAAAATGTAAATCATAAAAAAATCGCAGAAATGCAATCAAAAAGGTCGTCAAGCAAATCATTTCGTATTGCCAGTTGTGATAAGCATATCACCGCGCCCGGGTCGGTGGAAGCGGTCGATACCAAGATGCTCCTTACCGTCACGCCCGACATAAATGCCAAAGCCGTACGAAGGTAGCTGGCGCTCAGAGGGAGGTGCAATAATAAGACGAGTGACGAGGTCAGTCTTGCTCCTCGGCTCGCGCAGGATCTTATCAGATAGAAGAGGGGACTGATAAATATAGCTCATCAGATCAGCCAAGGTGGAGATATCGTGTGGAAGATGGCGACTACGACCCGGCCAGATTGCCACGAAAGACAAGGCGTATAGACCACAGACGCCAATCAAAGCGTAGAATGCGGGCAAAAAGGCTGAGATGCGGATGTCGTCGTGAGAGGGGTACCAGAGGGCAATGAAGACGCCGCCGGCGAGAATTGGGATGGCGAGGGAGAGCAGGCTCGTGAGGGAAATCCAGGCCACTTTGAAGTGGCGGTTGATGATGGCCTGGATAGTGACTTGGATTGGGTAGGAGGATGGGTAGGACAGGAGAAGGCTTTGTTCGGCGGATGCGCCGCTCTCGGATGAGAGTTCGGCATATGGTTGGAGAGCTCGGAAGTATACATCGACGGGTTGCCAGGCGAGGAAAAGGACGTTCCCAATTATGGCGGGAAGGAAGCTGTATAAGAAGTTGGAGGAGGAGAATGCACTTGTCGATGGAAGCGTTGGAAGCTTGGGAGGGAAGCCGCCCTCGATGGCATCGTTGACAAAGCTAACGGTGACGAAAGCGATGAAGAGGGCGAAGACAATGATAATCCATATAAATACTGAGATTTTGCGCAGGAACCAAGGTGTCCAGCGGTACCGGGAAGATGGCGAATGGAGGTGGTTATCGTTTGAGTCATTCGCGAATGCACCATTGTGCTCAATGTCAAAGCAGACCTTGGCAAGTCCATGTGGCTGCTTCTCTCTGATTTTGCTGGTTTGGTGAAGAGATGGGGTGCGCACGGGAGCATCTACTTCACCAATTCCGTAGAATATCTCGGTCTTGCTTGAGAGTTTCCAGTAGCCCAGTCGAAGGATGCGGGGATCAAGTGATTCCCGCACTGAGGGGACTGTCTCGGAGTGCTCAAAGTCGTGGAGGATGTTGGACCGCTGAATGATCGAGATCAAATCTGCGAGGCTGACGGGATCCCACATCAAGCCAGACCAGCCACTAACGAAACGAACAAAAAGCATGATCAGGCCTAGTGTCAAAACACCATACAATCCAACCAATGTCCAGCCCACAGATTGAACCGAAGCCCATCTCCAGACACCCTGTCCGTCAATGATGTAGTACTTTGCTTGGAAGAGACAGCTGAGAAGAGGAATGGCGAAGAAGTTTGATAGCCAAATTGTGAACAGAGAGATTCCAAACAAGGCTTCACCATGTCGAAAATGGGAGAAGTCAGGAAAGACGAAGTTTTTCGAGAGGATAGGCAGACGGTGCATTACCAGGCCTTGCTGACGCTCAGAGGACATCATAGAAAAAGGTGCTATGCGATATACCGCAGCTTGAACGACGAATGACCAGATGATGATGGGTGCGGCAGCAATCTGTGGCAGGAACTGAAGTACAAAATACCTAGAGCCACCTTGACGCGCGTAGTTCCATAATCCCTCCTCACCACGCGACCAAACATTGCAAAAGATTATAGCCGCCATCATGACCAGACAGCAAAATATCATCAACCCCAAAGCCCACGGCCGAAGAACAAGAGGCAAGTAATCTAAAGGGGGATACAACAAGCTCTGCTCCGGTGCATCAACGGCCATGAAAGACTCAGGGTCTACTGAGGCCGGCCTTTGGGGTAAAGCCTGTGGTGAAGGAGATGTGTATGGTGGTCGCGCAGGCGGCGTGTCATGTCGAATGGGGGTGCGTGTGCGGGTGAAATAACCGAGCCCTTCATCCCATACCAGCCTATCGGCTGGATAGTCACTTGTTGTTGTAGTGGAAATAGAGTCGTTTCTTTGGAGCCCTTGAGCTCTATCCTGGGTGATTTGGTCGATTGCAAACCGGACGTAGGGGGTATCATCTACGCCCGGTGTCGGGACAGGCCCTGGATAATCATTGGGGGATCTCCGAGAAGTTCCCTCTGATCGTGACACATCAGATGGGGGAGTTGGACTGATGTTGGATGGTCTGTCTCCTGCGAACCGGACTGTGCTGGATGTTGGTGGGCGTTGAGACTCGACATCTTCTTGGGCAATCTGTGTTTGTGACATGGCGGGTGATGGTACGTGTGAGTCTGGAGTCCTGAATTGCATAATAGTTGCTAGACTCTCAGTACTAGAGAGAGCTCTATCTGAGAATGAATAGTAGTCGTCAGATGCAGCCGCAGATTGTTGAGACTCTGTTCGGGCAAGTTGCGGTTTACTTGCTATATAAGGGTCAGTTGACTTGAGTCTTTGAAAAGCTGTGCAATTATTTTAATTGAAAAGGCAGCGGGGCGGGGATTCTTATATGCACGTACTGTTAACGTTGCGCAGGCTGAAGTTTCTCATCGGGTCCGTCATGCTGGGCCAGGAATGCGGATATTGATCCCACGCGGAACGGTAATTAATCCAGAAGCATTCCTCGACCTCACCCTTGAGATGCGAAGGGATTTTTTTGAGGACCAGCAATAGCTGCCCAGCGAGATTTTGTCTGTCATAGTGCTGGGCCGACGCCTCCCAGCCTCCCCAGCCACCACACTGAGATTTGCACTCGATAAGCCAATAGGGATGAATTAAATTAGGGATTGTCAAGTCAGACACTATTAATTTGATATATCATACCTAAAATTATATCGAATCAAAATTCAAGAAACAATTATGGAGATGGTTGCGTTGTTTCGCGGCCCGATCACCAGCGCGTCCATACCCTAAAGCTTGGCCCTTTTCTCGTCTCCTCAGGTCTCACTAGGTCTCACACCAGATCATCTTGAGTTTCAATGTTCTAAATTCAATAATAATCTCCATGGTAACCATCTTAAGTATACAGTATGTTCGTTCTTGTTCGGCCCCTCGGAACTACATTGTCACAATCTGGACTCTACCTCGCATCCCCTTACAAGTTCCACGCTGGAGCCCCAATGCAATAATTGCCAAAAATTGCTACCCTAGATAGCTACTATACGCAATCTGAAAGCAGGGTACGTTCAGAAAATTTCAATGGTCGCAGTTCAATAATGCAGTGTGGTGTTGCAATTGTTTTTCTCCCTTGCTGGTGGTATAAGTGGCTGGAACTAGGGCTTCGCGGTTTGCGGAACATCACATGAAAACATAAGGCTGTACCTAGGAGAGCATGAAACATATGATCGAGGGCAATTGTCTTTCATCAGACAGTGTTTGGGATACGCATATCTAACATTACTTGCATGAATATCTCTGGCTTCTAGGTCGGCTACTACGGATACAAAAGCCAACAGAAACTAACATGGATAACGCCCGCCATGGACTATTGTACCAAGGGGGTGGAGAGTCGTGAAGCAGAGAGATCAGCATACATATCGTTCCGTTTGTTATTACGCGCTGGTTTTGAAAGTAGTCTGGCTCAAATCCGTACAACCATATGTTTCCACGATTCTGTTTGAACAAGTCAATGAAGTCTTCCATACGGAGTATTGTATTCTCTCATCGAGCCCTATTTGCAGCTAAATGGTTCTTCTTGGCAGCGTCAGCCTCGCACCAGGACAAGTAAGTTTTGATCATGCATCTCGTGGCTGCCTGCATAACCAAATCGTGCGTTGCGAGCAGAGCTTAGTACTTGATATGGTGCCGCGCTGAACGGAAAATTTGTCTTAGCTGTCGTTTGCCTCTCGTTTGACTCCTTTTTGGGGAGCTTTCCATGTCTCATTTCTAGTAGCCATTTCTTTGTGAGGCCTTTTCCTTGCTCTCATAAAGTTATATGATACCTTCACGGTAGCAAGTGCTCGGCATTTTCTATCAAATTTCCCACTTTTCCTCTCTCCGCATCGGCTACATATACATCCACTCAAAGGGAGCACCAAAATGGATGAGCATTAAAAATATATCCATTTACTACCCAACATTAATCGATCACGCTATATAGGGTATCTCAGCGAGTATAGGAGTATGTATGAGGATGAGATCTTTTTGAACAGAGGACTGCTAATAAATATTACTAGCTCCTCAGCGATACCCTCGAATTAACCGGCAAAGCTGAGGTCTTCTCCAAACCCATATAGTACGAGGGTCTATTTGCATGGTGGTCAGGTGCGGGACGAGGTGTTCCCCCTTGGGCGCTTCTCATATGGACTGTGAAGACGACGAATCGACCGAGTCATACATTTTCTACTACGGTAGAGCACCAATTTCATGGTCCTCAAATAAGCAAGACCCCGTTGCTCCGAGCAGCACTGTTGCTGTGTATGTCACCCTTGATGGCGTAGTTAGTGAAGCTCTGTATTTGATGAAGGCCTTAAATTCAATTGAACTTGCAGGAGAAACCAACCCAAATTCCGATCTGCATGGATAGTGACAACACAGAGAAGAAAGGTCGCAAGCACGCTCCACCTAAGCGGAAATCAGTTGATGGATGGGGGGAAGTACAGCGCGAGAAAGAGCCTCAGTATGTCAACAAGACTCAATGTTCTCACTGTGACATAGAAGACCTCCCCGTCAGGAACTGCTACCACCTTCTCAAAGAGCCTATTTACGAAGACTAGGTTCCCGAGGAGAGTGTCTGAGCGTACTGCCTAGCTCGGAAGTCACCCTTCTACCAAGGAAAAGGCAAAGTTGACCTGTTTGCCACAGACTGAGCAGCTTGGTATTTGTTACAGGGTACAAATACCATGCTTCATATAGATTGAATTCCAGAGATTTTACCCTTCACCTTCAGCACAAGACGAGGCATTGGTCATAGCGACAACAACATTGTGCCGGTGCTTGATATTCTATGTCGAGCAATTTTACCATTCAGTGCAGCATGGCTGATCGATGGCATTGCCCAAATATCGACGCAAAATGACAATATAGCCTGCAAACGCTACTTATATCGAGACATTAACGAACACATCTCCAGCATGATTGACCTGGATTTGATGTTTATTCTGTTGTATGCTGTTAGGCCGAGGCAGCTGAACCCAGAATACGAGTCAATCTTTCCAGGGACGTGTTGTAACCTTCCGTACCTTAATGATGACTTCGAATCTACATCAAAGCAGTGTCATCGATAGCCAGTCCCCACGACCGATGGCTTAGGTAGAACAGGTGGATGCCAAATCTAAACATCATTCAGTGCGAACTTATTCTTAGTTCTCGTCCATTATGGGAAAGTACTCTGTTCATATATGTCATGTTAGTAAGAGTAAATCTAGTAGACTTGAGAGCAGGGATGCCCAGGAAAAGGAAGCAGGACTTGCGCATATTGCCAGCACCTCCTATTCCGAATCTAACATAGCGCTCTTGAAAACCAGATGTCGGACGACCATTCTGAAGTTCACTGAGCCGAGGGCCCTCCAATGACTGGAGTAGTGTTACTCTGTCAAAAGTCTGCAACTGTTGACCCTCGTCCTCGGGTTTCTGCCGTTTTGGCCAACTGAAAAATCTCCATAGACAGCGCATCTTCTGGCAGACGGGGAGGAAGTTTATACGGTATGTTCGTTTTCACAGGTAGTCTAGACAGATGGCTTTGGAGCAGTTTTTCAGATCAGTTTTCTGGCTCGTAAAGTGTTGATACAGCTAACTTACGCTTGATCCAAGGCTTGCATCAAGTTTATATAATTTCGGAGAATCCGGGAACAATAGCTAGTTATACGCCCAACTATCCGGTCCCTTGCCGTGATTCACATGATGGGTTACGCAGATACAGTACAACCCATGAAGCTTCAATTTCTCCGGGTGACTAGATTTGATCATCATTAGGATATAAGATGAACGTAGAGAATCTGACACATTATATAATGTATGATAGCTTAGCCAACCCTTGGAGATAGTCAGCCGCACATTTGGAATATGAGCAGAGCGTTGATGGCTTTGGCGAATAAGCAGATGCATGCACCCAGGTCCAAGAAAGTCGTGCAACTCTACCAATAAGTGTAACAGCACATTCCCATAGTGGCATTTGTACGGTTCTTAACGCCATTATAGATCACGAAAAAGGATTGGCTAGAATCGGGGAAATCCGTAAAAGACTTCCATTCTCTATCCAGAGCATTGTTGAACATCATCATTGGTAGACGTTTCCTTCATCCCAACAAGAAGTCCCTTAGAGGGTAAATGGTGTAGTGGTGTGTCCGGGTTGTAAGTGGTCCCACAATTGTGACGCGGTAGTGAAACCCTATTGAAGGCTATTGGCCCGCAAGATCACAAGCTTAAGCTTAATGACTTAGAGACACTGCGTTTGGGAAGAGCCTGTGCGGTACCCTGAACTAAGATGAGAACATCAGCCGTAACCAAATGCGATCAACCTTATCTGAGATCTGGTCTCTGGCAAATTGAGTGAAGTTCGAGAATTTGGCTAAACCTTTGAGGTGGATACTGGTTTCATGTTAAAACGATGTGGGACTGTGGGCCTCCAACGATGATAGAGTCCAGATTTCAGGTCCAAGCGTTTTCTGGGGCCAAATCTCCTGGCTGAAAGCAGAAAGTGCTGTGCCGCGATAGTGGATCAGAGAATGGCTGGTGAGATTGCGAGCTATGTTTGAAGGGTGGTCTTTTGATACGGAGTAGATTGCAACATGTCGCGGCTGGATGTCATACCGATGAATTTCAGAAATGCAGATCTCGTTTCACCAAGATGAGGTTTCAACCATGTACACACACCTTGTCCCTCGAAACACCTTAATTAGAAAATTATGAATCCCATACTCGGTTGGTAGCAAAACAGGTCCCATTCAAACACGGCAGAGGAAAAGTCTTGTTTCCTTTATAGGAATAAGGATTCAAGAAGTTGGCAAAATAACCAGGGGACATGGCCAATGACCATGTGTATCAAGAAGCTCGAAATTGTCCCAGTCAGCGCCCATAATTACTCCGACGCTCCGGCTTGGCAATTTGTCTCGAGGCGGCACTTCAAACGGGTAGAGCGAATGAGCAGGCAGCGCAGCTTTGCGCTAACAGAACCCCGGCTTCTAGGGGAGGAGAACCGTGCAGCGGGCATATGATTTAGCCTCACGTTCAAAATTTCAAAGGGGAATCAAAGAAGGAGGCAAGAGATAATACAAACATTCATATTGAGTACAATAGAGGAATCATAGAGTAATGTAGATGGTAGAGAGAGTGTAAGACGGCAGATCATCTGACTGATGCCTGAGGCCACATGTCTAAACCTCTCTCCTCACTCGGATCCTCCCCCAATGGCTTATCTGCACTCTAGTCATTCCTTTATTCTTTGAGTCTTTTGGTTCTTTAAATTTCCTTTGATTCCCCAAATTCTTGGCTTACCCCCTCATTTGCTTCTTTTCTTTTCTACTTTGTTAGCTTGGAAAAGCTTTTATCTTGATCGCGGGTTCAGATGTCCCCTGCCAATGCGCTATTAGAAGCTCAACTCTTGTGTCGCGTGTGCCATTAGGCCATTGGGAATAATCGCTTGATCGGTTCCCATCTGATTTCTACTTTTGCCTGGAAACGAACAACGTTGGCTTCCAGGGCCTCCCCTCACCATGTTGCTAAAGCCTGCGACACCCCTCTCCATTTTGCTACTGATCGCATTTGTGCTTTTGCTACTCTCATGTCTTTCAACTCCGATTGTTACGGGAATCCCCTTAGCAACTTTTAAAGATGTTGATTATGGTGTCTTTGGATATTGCAAGGGTGATACCTGTACCAATATCCATGTGGGATACACGAGTAGTAAGTCTTTCTCCTGCGCTTCTGCCTGCTCTCCGCTAATTTTCATGTAGACGATATAAGTAGCACCGGCGATGATTTTAATCTTCCTTCCGGTACTCGGAAGTCGCTATCCTCGATCCTCATCATCCATCCAGTCGCCGCGTTCCTGACTCTCATCTGCCTTTGCCTGGCTATCGCGGCCCACTTCCATGCGCCCTCGCACTCGCCGCGGTTTCTGTTGGCCCTCCTCATCTTGTTGCTGCCAACGCTACTCGTGACTCTCCTCGCGTTCCTCGTCGATATCTTGCTCTTTGTGCCACATCTAGGATGGGGTGGTTGGATCGTTCTGGCTGCGACCATCATACTTACCTCTTGCGGTGTGGTTACCTGTGCCATGCGCCGAACCCTTGTGAGCAGGAAGGCAAGGAAACGCAGGATCGCGGAAAATGCTGAGATGAGCGGAGAAAACTATTACAACCGGCAGAACGCCGCTGCGGCTGCGATTTCAGCCCCTGTTCCGGCCCCTGTCGAACCAAAGGAAACCTTTGTATCTGGCTCCCTAAACTCCAACTCCGGGCCGACCTTCGCATCCTTCCACACAGAAAGACAAGACAGTGATGATGATCGAACCCCTCTCAATTCGCGGACACCCTTGGGCGATATTCCAGCACCCCCGGATCATCGTGGCGCCCCCTATCGCGGCCCGCAAGATGAATTTGGCAACATTCCGCCTCAGGGCCCAGGTCCGTACGGTGCTGGTCCAATGTCACGGAACCCCTCCGATCCACGGATTCGTCCCCAATATTCCGATGGCAGTATGGGTTCTCGAAGAGGGGGACCACCACCTGGCTTCAATGGACGCGGTCGAGGTGGATACCCTCCCCGGGGTGGACGTGGAGGGCCTTACATGGGACCTTCCCGCGGCCCTTCCAATGGCTCCCGAGGTGGCTACATGGGTCCAGTGCCAGGCCGTGGAGGTCGCGGTGGAATGATGCCGCCTCGAGGACCACCAACCGGCTACGGACCAGGTCCAGGCGGCCCCAATCGCGGGGTAGACCCATATGGTAGAGCTGACTCGCCTCCCATGGACGACCCTTATAGTTATGGTCCTCCAGGTCAGACGCGCCAGCCATCTCCCGGGCACATTGGCATGGCCGTGTCGCCGGACATAGTGGGTCAAGCTATTGAGATGACTCCGCAACCTCAGCCGCAGTACGAGCATGAGTCGACTCAACCAATGAGCAGCGTGCCGCACGGGCTGTCAGCCGAAAATAATGGCGCCCCCGAAAGTCCGACTAGCATGTACAGCCGCCCTGGGTGAGTCAAAATCTTACAGATACCGCCCCGTAACTGATCACTAACACTTTGTTTAGTTCCTACGTTCCTGCTCGCGCGGGCTGGGGTGCAAATGATCCTCGTACCGTGTCCCCACGGCCGCCGGGGCAACCCCTGCAGCCTAACAATGCTGGTCCCAATTACTATGAAGACGTTGATCCCCGTTTTGCTCGTCGACCATCACCCGCCAATGAATCTGCGATCCCATCTTCCTTGACGCCTGGAGCTACTCACTGTATGTCTTCTCAGAGATCACATGTCTTAACGGAGCATTGCTGACATTCTCTCAGTTTAATGAACCTATTGGCTTCTAAGTGTCAAAATCATGCTTGGCACGATTATTTCCCTTCTTCCACACTTTGCGATACCCTCTTCTTTCTTCACTTCTCTGGCTAAATTTGATTATATTGTTTTCTCCTCAATTTCACGGTACACTGGGTCATTTTTGGGAGTGGAGTTATGGTGTCCTTGTCTTGCCATTGCTCCATAATTGCTCTTTTTTGGGACGACAATTCGATGTTTCTCGTTCCCCTACTTCCGCCACAAAACACAGGCGTTGAGAACAGGAGTTTTCTTTTTGCTGCTCAGTTGTACTCTGCCTGAACTCTGATGTATAGCAGCAGGCGGATACAATGTACAGATTTTCAATATGTCTGGCTTTTCTCCAGATCAGAAGCATTCGACGCTGCTTATCTGATCTCCTTTCTACTTTCTTCCACTGAGTGGACTGTCACTTCTATCCTACCCAATTCCACATACCTTTCCTTTCTCCGGTACATCTGGCTTTTCGCAATATACAAACATTGAACATAAATAATACTCTTTCCCCTTCTGATCTGATCTAACTCGTGTGTATGATTAAGGTCGGGGTACGATGATGGAGAGCTTCATAAATACTGTGCTATTGATAATGGTGACGAGTTCGTGACGCTGCGCCATAAGAACCCTAGAATAGGTTTATCCGGGACAGCAGAGCTTAATAGCGCACCTAGATTGATCCGATAGTAGGTTACAATATTATAAACGAGAATCTATGCTGTACTAGCCACCATTTTTACCATGTTATAGAACCGCTACAGATATTGCTCAATGGAGGATAATGTTACAACCTGCCGCTGGACTGGCGAGTTACACACTAGGCCGAAAAGACCACTATATCTGAGCATTATGCCCAGATATTCCAGGCTTCGATATATATAGTGCATGACATGACAGATAATGTTCGTCAATTCGTATGGAATGGAATGGACAGCAGGAAGAAAGAAAGAGCGAGAGCTATGTATGTAGGTTCTATCACATGTCGATGCTTGGGTATCCTTCAGCACGACAATATGTCTCGTCCTAGTAGACGAGGTCCTGGGTGTTGACCTATGTAGCTTGTCAATATATATAATGCCTTCATAATGACTTGATAATACCTTATCGTAGTTTCAGTTAACTCACATTTTGATCAATCGGGGGAAGGCGCAGGTCCTCTAAATCCGCTGCCATGTATGCCTTCCATGCTGGGGAGGCTTTAATACCTGACATTGTATTGAGGATAATGCTTTTGTGATGGATTTAGATAGATTTGATGAATAATACGTTGCATTGTCCACGGTATTAATGAACGATGATTGGTGATGGCTGTATTGGTAGGTTTAAAAACCATTTGGGGGAGGTGAGCGGACTGATGCAGATATAATATTCGAGACGGACATGATTTTCCTCTTCATCTGCTGGAGAGCGAAACCCTAGTCACAGGAGACTATCTAGTCTGATCCCAGACCTTACGCGGAAATATATCCAATATTGGAAGAGTATTGGTTTTATTGCTCAGAGATGAGCTCTTCCAGAGCAGCAAGTCAATACATTTGATCTCGTAAATATGGATGGAGTTATAGGTGCTTTTGTGGTGTATTTAGTTGCGAATCTTGTCTCACGCCAGAGTATGAGGACCTGTACTAGAATGAAATAACTTGGCATTTCTTGAACTTGAGTCGGCATTGTAAAGATATTTGAAGTTACTATACCATAGATAGTCTGGATTAACTTGGTACATAAAGTTGGTCAACTACATATAATATTCTGGAGGAAAAGAAGATAGAATAGATCGATGTTTCCTTGTCCAATTTTCTGTCCGGTGGTATGTTTAAATATTTTGGAGAGACATGGAACTATGTTTTGTGATTGGAAAACCGAATACACAATATTCTCGTCAAGGTCTCTCTTGCACCAAAATAGCTACGCTAGACTAGGTTCTTCTGATTCAAATGCTCATTGAACCACTCAACTCCTTGTACAAAAGCACTTCGCTTCGCATATCTCACATCCGGGATTGCTGGATCACCTCGGACCGCAAAGCCATGCTTCACCCCGCCATAGAGGTTGATTTGATAAGGAAGGCTCAACCCTCTCAAGATACCCTCTGTTACATGTCTCTTTTCAACGGAGAATATTCCGTCGGTTTCTGCTGCAGCAATAGCGAGTGGGCCTTGAATAGCCTTGAGCTCGGCCTCTTCAATATGGGATGGGTGTGCTGTATAGCCCACATCGATTTTCCCCGGGTGCAGATGCCGCACGACATACTTGCCACCGAAGCAATATCCCACAGCACCAATTCTCTAGTACCCGGTTAATACTAATATCATTGTATTTGAGTTGGAACATCCGTACTTTGCAGTTGAATTCCGTTCTCATTTCCCGCAGGCAGGATTCCACAATCGGATCCACAGTCGGGGGGAGATGGTTCTTTCCTTCCGGGTGATATCCCCCGTTTCTCCACTTCTGCATATCGAATTGTCCCGGCTTGTTCAAAGGCACAGCATCGCCGTAAAACAGATCTGGCATAATAGCAAAATACCCATTCATGGCAAATTGATCTGCAATGAGTTGAGCGTTTGGCACACGATGGCCGGTGATATCCGTGAGTCTATCAAAAGTGAGAAATAGTGAACCTCGAGGTGAATCCTGTCAAGGACTTACATCAAAATCCCATTTTCCGATGACTTGGTAGGGGGATGACTGGTGTAGACTTCGACGTCATTCAGCATGGATAATGAACCTTGTGGCCGCCCATCATGTTCGAACCCTTGGTAGCAGCAAGATTGGGGAGGGTAGGATGCCATTTCAGCAGAACGCAAGTAGGGTGCTCTAATATTGGAGAACCCAGATTATCGAGAAAATGTTTTTGTATTGATTCAAGAGCCACGAGTCTGAAGTAGATAAAATTTATGCGAGATTTCCCAGAAAGTCTGGACGGAGAAATTCGATCCGTATATGACCACGTTCCCTGCGTGAATAGAGGGGACCAGACGTAGGAGGCTATTGATGGATCTCAGGCTATCGCCGGGAAATCCCAATTCAGAAAATCAACCCGAGTAGAGTATTTTCTATAGTCTATTCGGAGGTCATCGCTTGATCTAGCAACTCCATATAGAAGAAGTCTACGGAGATAAATCTCGGTCAAAGAGTGACTTTAGCTTGGTATTACGGGAACCATCTGCCAGCCGACAGATCGAACTTGGAATTGACAAGCCTAGACCCGTGTGGGGATGGTGTGTTCTCGGAGGATATCTATTCATTGCCTAAATCCGTATTTATGGCCGTGCGATGTTTGCGTTTCCGAGGCCGAGATAACAAACCAATTCCAAAATTGCTCGGATGTGGTGCAACATCTAGTGGAGCCTATAGACCTGTATCCATGGTCCCTGCCGTTATCCCGAGAACCTTAGAAGGCTTGATTCCGGAAGCTCTCGGATTCGGACTTCAGAGGGACCTGCCCCACTATTGACCTCGGGAATAATACTTTCTCGGCTCGGAATTCACTACTGAATTTGGTAGAGTACCAAATCAACCTTTGGAAACAACCTTGGAAGCTAAGATTCCTTAACAAATCCATCGAATTATAAAAGTGGACGTATCCGCCAAACTTATATATATTGCGGGCTTTAAATTCTCTAATCTAAACTAGCTTCTCCACTGCAAAATTCCTTCATAATGTCAACGCAAGATCCAGAAAAAGCTGAGCCTACGCAGGCTACGGAGCCTACAATGACGGAGAAGCCCCTGCTTAAGCTGTCGTTTATGTCAAAAGTTCGACTGCGTGAACCTGGCCAAACAGCCGCTTTCACTCACCCAGTTAGTCACCTCAAGTCCGCCGATGATACTGTTGTTGACTTTGACGGGCCTGATGATCCATATCGCCCGATCAATTGGAGTTTTAGGAAGAAGGCTTTCACCACCATTCTTTATGGAATGACTACCATGGGTAAGTAATTTGGAACGGCATTGTCTCTTTCTTTTGTTTAGTTGCTGACTATTCCTGGGAACTTAGGTGCTACTTGGGCAAGTTCAATGTAAGATACTCTTGTTGAAAGAGTGAAACTAGTATTTCCATACTAATACCTTGCTAGATACTCACCCGCCATCCCGGGTATCGCGAAAGAATTCCATATCGGTGAAATCACTGCCACACTCGGTACAAGTATGCTGTTGTTCGGCTTCGGGCTAGGACCTATCCTTTGGGCACCATTGTCCGAGCTTTACGGGCGAAAAAAAGTGGTTCTAGTTCCGTATTTCATTTCGATCATGTTTTCCTTTGCAACAGCCGTATCCAAAGATGTCCAGAGTGTCATGATCACCCGGTTCTTTGCTGGGTTCTTCGGCGGTGCCCCTATCACCAATACTGGCGGTGTATTGGCAGACATCTGGTCACCTCAACAACGTGGAGCTGCGATCGTGGCTTACGCGATGGCTTTGGTGGGTGGACCAGTATTGGGTCCGATTGTGGGCGGTGCGATTGTTGACAGCTATCTTGGGTGGAGATGGACAGAATATGTAAGTTGATGAAATGGCTGCTTTGCCTGCTTGGAAGTTGTTTTACTGACTACTATCCAGATCACCGGCATTCTCCAACTGCTGATGCTGACTCTGGGCGTCATATTTCTCGATGAAACCTATCCCCCAGCACTTCTGGTTCATAAGGCTCGAAGATTGCGTATCACCACCGGGAACTGGGCCTTACACGCCCGCCATGAAGCAATGGATTATAACCTCAAGGATATGGCTGACAAGTATCTCTTCCGGCCGTTCCGTCTCTTAGTCACGCCTATCTGCTTCTTTGTCGCTCTGTATGCATCATTTGTGTACGGAATCCTATATCTTAGTCTTGCTTCGTTCCCAGTCGAATTTCAAGAGACTCGAGGGTGGAACCCGCTCGTTGGAAACCTACCTTTCTTAGGAATTCTAACCGGTATGATTCTCGGAGCGATTGTCAACCTCCTTAACCAGAAATTCTATATCAAAAAGTTCCATGCAAACGGCAATCGCGCTGTACCCGAGGCGCGGCTCCCGCCTATGATGCTTGGCTCCGTGTTCTTTTCCGCTGGCATGTTCATTCTCGGCTGGACGAGTCCCAAAAGCATATTCTGGCTGTGTCCAGTAATTGGAGCTACCTCCATGGGGTTGGGCTTCTTCACTATATTCCAGTCTTCCCTGAATTACCTGGTAGACACTTTCACTTGCTTTTCTGCCAGTGCCATTGCGGTCAATACCTTCCTGCGCAGCATCTTCGGTGGTACTTTCCCGCTCTTTGCGACAATCATGTACCGTCGCATAGGAGTTCCTTGGGCGTCAAGTGTGTTGGGTTTCGTGGGCATGGCCCTCATCCCAATCCCATTCGTTCTTTACGTGTATGGGCCTGGCATTCGAGCACGCGGTAAATGGTCTCAGCCCTCATTACATGGTCATTAAAATCCACAAGAAACAGCGGAGATAGCGGATTGATAGAGGTGTGTCTATACCACAATTGCCCTCTCCGCTACTGGTTTTCTTCGGACCGAGACACAGATCTGGATGCCATGTAAGATTCATTGAGCAATAAGACTCGACGAATTTACTCGTCGATTCACCCCTGCAAGCAAATTGTTCATTGGCAATTCTGCTTTTCTGTCAATATCAGAGTTGCCTCTCAGCTGTGACGGCCAATAACTACAGTGGTAAATAGATAGCCACAAAGACTTCCAAAGTATTTAGTTCGGATTATAGTTCATATCATTACATATTAATTTAGGGAGAAAAGGAATTAGAAGAGGAAACATGACTTTAGAGCATATTTTCTTTGCTTTCAAGTGTTGAAATCTCACTTTTTATCTGTGAGCATTATCTCTCCTTTCCTTCCCCCCTAGTGCTAGAATTTTAGTAGTAATGCACCTATTCTGATAGATTGATCTCTCTTCACACTATCTCAGTATCTTCTTATCTTCATATGCTTACATGACCAATATAAAGCTACCTTTATAATTCTAGTAGGATGTGCCTAGTCTCTGGAACGCCTTCACCTGCACGTTAGTGCCAGTAAGATTAAACGTTAGCCAGCCTTTCTTCTCACTCTTGGAGATTGACTGGATATTCCCTTGAGCCTTCCACTTATGAATCCCGATCACTGGGGACCTTGCTACGCTTGACAGATCCTAGCAGCTCTCCTCCTCAGGCACCCGGTGCGTGGCCGAATCATGGACTTTCCCATAACTCTTTATGAAGAAGCCCTAGTCGGTGCCAGTTTATATAAGCGAATGATGTCACCTTTTTGTGTTCGATACATAGCTGTACTTACAGTTGAGAAGTAAAAGAGACCTAAATCATTTCATTGCTCTGCATGTACCAGTACTCTAACAGGCATCTACCCTCTTTATTTCGATAATTCCAGTCTTCGAAAGTCATATGCACCTGGCAGTCCAATTACTAAAGCTTGATATTGACAGTGGATGGCATATCCGCTCTAATGGATATCAACTCATATCTAATATCCGCATAGATCGACTACGACCCTTATTTTAGGAGTGGGTCGTGACACTAGGTGTAGACGAAGGGTTATGTAATTTTCATGCTATCACTCTCCCTAAAGCTCTAAAATTCCCTAGTCTCGCTCTGCTTTAATCTATATAATCTTGTCACTAGGCGTAGCTATCAGGTTGCATCATTATGATTCCGTTCATAGATTAATTAGTTTCGTACATTTTCTTCGTGCCTAGGTTATGTATATAAACATTCGATGTTCGAATGATTAGAACACTTCATGAAAAAAACATTCCAGCCACTAATGTAGCTAGAACCGCAAGACCCAAGTGTGGACGGAAGGTATTCCCGAGTGAAGCGTCCCCTGATTCGTTCGTGGATTCCCTATCGTCACCGGAATTTTGGGTGGTAGTATTGCTGCTGCTTCCAGACGAATTGTCAGCGGGGTCTGAAGCGTGGATGTGCGCATTTCGCGTTTCATTTGCATATTTCCATTCCACCTTGGACCCTGGCTTAATATCATCGAATGCAGCCTCGCAAACATTCATGTCAGTCTGACCCTCAAAGTAAGTGTCTAAACACTTTATTTGCTTCTCGTTCAATTTCGCTTTACACGGATGCGGCTCTCCTCCCCTGTGGATGAGAGATGGACATGTCTCCGATCCTGCTTTGGCTGTGATATTGCCCAGGTATTCGGGACATCCCTCAAATGATACTTTTGAGCCACTTCCATCTTCAACAACAGTGAAGTGAAGGTCCCCTGATGCCACATCACCAGTCCGGATGATTGTGCTGTCGCCGCGATCGTCGCAAGTGGTTGTAGTATACTCCCAGGATAGAGTGTAATGGCCTGCATCTAGCCTTTGGTTCCAGTATGACGAATCTACCAGAAGTGCAGTGGTGCCGGTCGTATAGTTGAACTTGTTAAAGTAGTTGACTTCGTCGAAGCTGCCGGACAAGAAGAAGTGGGCGTCGTCGCTATCCAGTTCCCAATCTAATCTGTACTCTAAGAAGACAGCGAAGGGGGCGTTCTGTAGGGCGAACGCAATGGGTGGAGTGACCATATTGTTGTACGTTGTGTTGCGTGGAAAAACGACATCTACCTCGATTCCCGTCGGGTCGGACAGGCCTGTCGTTGCAGCGACAGAGGCTCGAAGCCAGAGGAACAACAAAAGAACTGAGGTAGTGATTGCCATTGTTGTATGATGTATATATGTCAGATAATGGGGGAAATAACACGTGAGGATGGAGGACTTCAGCCCTGTGAAGGCGACAGTTTATCAAGTGGAAAGTCGGAGGCTTTGTCGTGATGGTATTATTTGAACGACTGTTGGGAAAGTCAAGGGAAGGAAAAAAAACTGTTATGCGTCGGATACGAGGCCAAGCCTCGCTTGCTCCACTCCGGCGGAGTTGGATACGAACTCAAGCACAGACAAAGGGTCTCGGATACCAAATTTGGTAAACTTGATTGGAGATGCATACGGAAAATTGTAAGCAAGAAAGTAATTGCAACTTGGTACAACATAGTTTATGTTCATGTTTCGCTTGAATTCTCCATCACAATTCCAAAGGAAACCATGAACACTTTCTCGAGATGAAGACATGCCAATACTCTTTGCGAGACAATAACTTATGCAAGGTGAAATTATGATCAGGTTCAGCTAACAGCCAACCTCGTAAAATCAAAGGGTTGACGGAGAGCAAATCTATCGAATTTGAAGGCCTGGAGTGTTATGAGAGGTAGTAAAAAGATGATATTCAGTAAGACTAGGCTACAGAGTAGTGGGAAGTGCAATAGGGGGTAGTCATGTGACCCCCCCGGCGAGTCCGCGGGCCTCGGTATGGATTACATAATAGCTTGCTGCAGCCGCTGTTGACTGGGGCAGCCACGGCCCACGGGTACGCCTACTAGGCCGGGGTCAGGGGCTTCTTGAGAGTAGCGATTGTCGTCTTGTATTAGGGTTTTCAGGTTGGCCATCTTCTTTCCATGTCTCTCTTAAACTCCATATCATTCCCCGACCCTCCATCACATTTGAATTGGAAAGCCCAAGATAAAGGGCACGGTGATCATGAATAATCTTCATCGTATGTTTCTATCATCTCGAGAGCATCCGCGATCTCTTCTCGAGACTGGACTTGCTTTGGGGCTTTGATCCGCAACTGAGCCAGCTGCTCTAGCTGCTAGTCGCTATGCGTTGAACGCGGCGTTGGATTAATGTAAAATACCGAACTTGTGAATGATGGTCACAACTCATGAATAAATCGATAGTGAGCCTGTACTATCATAGTTCCCTTTTCTTGCATTCTTAACTAACATCTTTCCAGATTACATTCTCAATGGAGGCGTCATTCTCCGCAAGCTCTAGGCGGCTCAACTCTCGCCGCAGTAGACCCTCTAGGTCTTGCCTTATTTCCATAAGTGGGCCAGGGAGGAGTTGTTAATGCTGGGCAATAGCATAGATAGCACCTTCATTGTACGTATCTCATACCAAGACGATGGGCAATTTTCTCTCGTAGTTGTTCCCGCTGTACAGCTTTTATTTGAAGCTGTTCTAGCTGCTCCAGCTAGGAATTGCTCGGCGATGGGATTTGCTTTGGATTAACGTAGAATAACGAGCTCAGAATCATCGCGAATGATGATGCTAAATGATAAATTAATTCATATTAGGCCTCTACTATGGTAGTTCTCCAGGTGCCCCTGCTTTGGATATCAAGCTCGCGTGGGAGGGTGTATCTAGCGAGCATGTTGGTTTGTGGCCTTCAATTGAGCGTCCATGAGGTCGATGTAGTCAGCCTTGCCGTTGGATGCATAATCCATATCGATTGATGTTTGCAGTTTTGCGTTTGTAGTATCCCCAACTGACACTTTTCCAGATTGCATTCTCATTGGCGGTATGGTTTACCTCTTCAAAGACCAGGGAACTCAAATCTCGTTGTAGCGGCCTCTCTAGCCCTTGCCGCATTCCTGGCGCCTGGGAGAATCTGGGAATGGGCCGCGATAGCATATAGCGCCCCTTCATCGTATGTCTGGATCATGTCCACACGATCTACGATATCTTCTCGGGACCGCGCCCGCTGTACTGCCCGGACCCGTAGCGGCTGTAGTTCTTCCAGCTGCTGGTTGATGGGCGACGGGACTGGTCTAGGGTTAGCCACTTCTCACTTGTCAGCTTTAGGGGCTTGATATAGTCAGAAACGGCGATGAACTCACCGGTAATGTATGATGGTAGTGTTTGATTTTGGATCAAGAACAAGGCTTAGCCTGCAAAGTAGCTAGTATTAGTAAGCTTAATATATGTTCGTAAATTTGGATAAGCTCAATGGGCATACCTTTGTTTGGTTGGTTATGTGTTAGGAGCTAATGGAATTGTTGGAGAAGGTAAGAGGGAGGAGAGTCAGGGAGACCTTAAATAGTATTCGAGACGCTGCGTTTGCATGAGGAAGATGCGGCTGGCACACCTAAACTGGAGGTTTTGAGATAAAGCCCACCGTATAATGATATATCAGGGCTATAGTTCAAGTTACAAGTAGTAAATTATATCAGTGAGAAGCTTTAAATGACAGATTTATATATAACAGATGCGTATGTGGAGGAGAAGTAAGAGAAAGGTGAGGTTTGATAATGCCTATAGACATACCTATATGTGCAGTTGGATGCAAATTAGTTAACCAGAAATTTAACAGAAGCCTGATAAGATAGGCCATCAACTATGTCCAACTAGTTACCTAGTTTTACATACTATGAGGTTCCATAATGTGAAATCTAGTAATAGATACCATGGAACATTGGTTTTGATTCAGGTTGATGTGACAACTACATGGTCTCAATATTTTACAGCATAGAATCATGGGTGTGTGTCTTTCTTGTTCTGGTTAGTCTCCGCGTACCTATCATTGCAGTTGCCCCTTGCCTGTGCTCGACGGTACAAATCCATCGAAATTGTTATGGACACTTTAACGTCGAGAGGGCTAGTGAGACTGGAGGATATTGGTTCTCAACTCCACCGAACGGACCTGCTGCTCTTGGTGAGAAACAATGAAGGACTGGACTATTATCGGAGTCTCAATAGAGAATAATGTTTTAACTGGACCCTACCTAGCCCGGTTAATGGATATTGACTATCGTTCAGCTTGCCCAGGTGTAACTTTCAGATTGGTCATCCATGCAGGCTCCCGAGGTCCCGAAGGTCCCAAGGTTCGGCCCGTGCGTGCTTAAGTGGGGATCTCGGGAACGCTAGTCAATTAAGGTTCTTGGAAACAACCTTCGAATCTTCCAAGGCACTATAGTACTACATACCACGTACCTAGTAAAATGGGGTTTAAAATGCTAAATTTTTAAATAATGTAAATCCTAGCGCGGGGATGGCGGCAAGTTGTCGGGATGCTATTCTGGAAGACAGTTCACCTCTAGACTACCAAGCAAACAATATCGGTCATCGTCGAACATATTGTACATCATGGATTGTGTGCCAATATTAGGATACAAACCACACACTTCTGTAAAAATTTGTCAGTTATTCCATGCACCCAAAGATTAATAACTGGGGTCCTATTGCAATATTGTCCTAGGTCGGTAGTCCTAGCATCTGCCATTGTTCGCTCCAGCGCCCAGCACGCTCTCACCCCCTATATCCAACGGCCTCTGAGAACCAACTGTCCATGCAAGTACATGCCTTTCCCTTTATTCTGGGAATGATGATAACTTCCCAAACACACTTGCATTCCTTGCAGGCTTGTCCTTGCTCCATCGGACTCACGCTGTTAAACCGGCGCTTGTTGCAAAATGTATAACCGCCTCTCACAGAGTGACCGAACGTTATGGGTGACAGAGAGGTACTGGGAGTACTGCGGTGGAGGCGATTGCGGAGTTGACTGGAGGTGCAGGCAGGCGCCTGAGGTTCGTTCCAAACGGCGTCTGGAGGGCGGATGGGTTGTAATGAGGATACGTCAGCCACTGAAAGGATGTCGGAGCACTATGGTGCTAGTTGGGCCAGAGGGCTTGGTGGGCCAAGCAATCTAAGGGCGATCAATAGTCAGTAATCATGCACATGAAGACTTGAAAATGCCATCTCGGGAGTGAGAGGAACCATTGGGTTTGCGTGTACTTTACCTGAGAGAAAAGGCCCAGCCAGTCCCACAATACGATTGTGGTGATCATGCTACAGCAGAATAAGAACCGTTCGCCAAACAAAAAGCTGCTTGTCAGATTCTGTCCTTCCAAGTGGGGGCAGAAATACTTCACGCAAGAACTCGAGGTACCATAGCGTGAATTGTCTGCACCATTTGACAGGCTAATCAACCTAAGGGTAATCAATCAGTAACTATACACGTAAACACTTGAAACTGCCATCTCGAGAGTGAGAGGAACCATTGGGCTTGCATGTACTTTACCTGAGAGAAAAGGCCCAGCCAGTCCCACAATTAACAATCGTGGTGATCATGCTCTAGCAGAATAAGAACCCTCCCCCAAACAAAAAACTGCTTGTAAGATTCTGTCCCTCCAAGAGGGGGAAGAAATACTTCACGCAAGAACTGAATGCAGTGTTCCGTGGATGTTCCGGTCGGATTCGGCGGACATGGACCCTAGATTCGTCATCTTCAGAGCTTGGATCTGTCGATGTTCCTTTGGTCGGTTAATGACCAGGAGATGCTCAGCTTAATATGTGGTCTCAAATCAGGCGATAGGCCAAGGAGGGGCTCAACCGGATTGTCTCGTAGTTGGTAGAGATAAAAGGTGAGAGGAGCTAAGGTTAGGAGTTTTGTGAAATCGACCGGGAGGGTAGTGTCCTCGTGAGGAAGGCGCGTCTGTCCGCCCGAAAATAGAAACGGCAATACCGGTGAAAATCACATGCCAGATAATGAAGACCTGTAAGAACCTAGAATTGATATTAGGAATAGGAACTTGAAGTTCACATTATACTATGATAAATGGTGATTTTAAAACATACTACATTACAAAATCTCCCGGCTAGAGTCCTTAATCAAGATTTCCCGTCGGGTAATATCAAACGACTATCTAAATTGACTATGAGAGTTTCGAATGGCTTAACCTCTGAGCCCCTCTCAATCTCGCCTTCCTCGGCTTAGACTTCGATATTCTTTCCTGTGCTCGCATGTCCCGGCATCAGACTCGGTACACTGACCACCAATTTTCCAGTTCTTCCGATGCTCGCCGTAGCTCGAGACGTTTCTCTCCCCTTGAGTAATGTTGGGAGAGCCTGTTTCCCACTTCATTAAGGACCAATGAGGAACTCCTGGTTCTCGTGACCCATTAACATTCTACCATGATTGATTGGATGGTTTTTCCTTCAACATAAATTTTTCGACTAAAGTTCGCTGGGTTCTAGTGTTGGTTCTGGATTCGTTCGACCTCATGGTTTCTCCAGGTGCCGTTCCTTATAACCTTCGAAGCGATTCTGTTCTGATGGAGTTTGATGTTCGGAAATACGAAGTGGAGACAGGGAAGGTCGTGTAGACGTGCGAGATTTGTTAACGAAGGATGGGAAAGTATAAGACATCCGACGTACATGTGCTAGGCAGGAGAAGGAGACCGGGAGAGAATACTTATAACAGAGTTCTCGCATATCCCCACCGAATTGCCGTTTATCATTATTATAGCTGCAAATCGGCTGAAAATGCCTAGATTTTCCGGTCAGCTTTGTGAGTGACGTGCAGTGGAGAGTGGGTATCGAGGGAATGTCGTATATCTCATTTCCCGACATGTAGAATAGATCGCAGTTTGGTACTTTGAAGACCAGTTAAATCGATCAAGCTATGAACGGCCTATGTTAATTATTTAGCCAGACATGTCTCTGTGAGGTCAGGGCATCACTTGGGCCACGATTTCCTCAACTTGTACGCCCCGGGGAGCATCTATTATATTATCTAGCATCCAAACATTCCACACCGACCTGGCAATAATCGTTACTAGGATAGAGATATATCGACCGATTGCAGTGTACGGTTAAAATTGATGAATACAGGAATGCTCTGGGATCATGTCTAGCGGGTCCTTTGAAATGCCGGAAATGTCGGAAATCTCAATGAATGCGTTGGGAAGTAGACGAAGGTGGGATATTAGCAGCCGGAGCCGCACGGCGAGACCCGATGTTCCAATTCACCAGCCAGCTTCCGCCCCAGTACGCAATCGTTGTCGGGAAGGGAGTCCTCTTAGCTACTCGTCACTAGGTACCAGAATCAGGCGACTGTTGCCCATTGTTTGTGTGTCCGATATGTGCTTGAGAAGGAACTAGGCACGGAAAGCCGACGGGTCAGCTCACATCTAAAGAAATAACTGAAAAGACCATTAAAAAAACAAACACTGAAAGGATATCACAAGGCCACTTATACAACCGATTATTCTTTTCGATGGAAATCAAGTATCCCACTTATCCGGCTGGTCTTATTCCAGAAGATGAGGCATCAGAGCGTGGATATCTGCTAAAAATAAAGTTTTGACCCCTGGCATCTATACCGCTGCGTAACCGACATAGTGAACGGGCTACTCAAACCCTAGCATTGCCTGTATTGTCCTAGTCCCCTAATCATACCATTTGCTTTATCTAAATATCTACTACTTCTGTCTGAGAGAAATTTCAATTCACCATCGTCCAAAAAGCCATCCTACATAGCTGCTCCAAGGAAATGGCATATATTGCAGTGACCAGTTGACTCAGGCCGATTTATCCAGATTTCAACTTTGGTAGATGATTCCAACATTCGTTGTTATTTGCTCCCGTGGGTCCGAGTGTTACGAGTGGTAGGGGTTGAACCCACAACGACATATTCCTGTTAGGAAGGAGGATAGAGGTCGAATTTGACTGACAATAACACTCAGGTTTATGAGGCGAAGGCTTGTGTTCGGATGTAAGGATTGACTGTGGTACGCTCAATGACAAAGCCTAGTAGGCCTACAAATTCGCTAACATCTTGGCGCATTGCATCCGTTTGTGCCGAGCTTAAACAAACGCACAGCTTGTTGTAGAAGTTGGCCGCTATGCTGTGGTCCCAAGCCTCGCTGGTAAGCCCTTTCCAAAGCTGTGTAGTGAGTTGTTCTGTGCCTTCCAGTCTCCAATTCCGCGATACTACTCGGTGGAGCGAGAGAATGACGGGAAGTGTGACATTAGGAAAGTCCTGCCTGATGCAGCTACAGAGAGCATCATTGATCTCACTTATGTCTGTTCGCCCATAGACACGGAGAACAAAAGCACGGGCAACTGACTCTGTCGAAACATCCCCGGGATTGTATGTAGGTAATTGCCAGGAGTCATTATGTAGGACTGGTCTCGCTCCAATTCTGTCACCCAGGTCAGGGGTGGGAGGGAGCCAGCACACGCCTGGAACCTCGTGGAGCTTTACTTCAGCCAAAAGGGCATATCTCGGAATTGCTACATAGGCCAGGGCCGACATAGCATTAAGCTGAGCAAGTTCCTTTGTCAGACTAGCACACCGATGGCATCCCGCGATAGTGTCGAGGATGTTTGCGCAAAGATAGGCGTAATCCTTGATTCCAGCTTCACCACCGAACATGTAGGCGGTTATAAGTTCATTCAAGGGTCGATCCAGCCATATATCGGAATGTATGTCCGTTATTTCGTTGTACTTGAAAACCTGATCCATGATCAAGCGCATGTGGTGACATTGGGTAGGAGCTAACATGGCTTGCTTGAATGCCCCTGCGGGGGCAAAGTTAACGGTAGCACGGTAGAGCGAACAGCCAGCGCCGTCGACCCAACGTAAGTCGGCGACGTGAAGAGGGTGCGGAACCATCTCATGGCCTTCCACCGCTCCGTTCCAGTCACGATCGCGGTGATATATAACGCTAGATGTCAGGGTAATATCATCGATTAGGGGCTCGAACATGGGATCCGAGAGGACTTGATTGCCCAGGTCGGCAGCAAGACAGTAAACGTCGTCGTCCCCAAACTCTGTCCCATCTTTGGCTCCTCGGTAATCAGCTTCAATTGTGACAGATAACAAGGAGGCAGTGCACAGAGTTTTGCGCACTCCTTCGACGCCTAGTGGGCCAGAAAGATTGAAGAAGTGGTATACATTCACAATTCCTATTGCGGCATTTTGGGACGATGACAGTCCTGAAGTATATTCAGTGCCTAGCCATGCTTCTGTAGCAGCTGTTCGGTCATGCACGGGTATATATGAGAAAGGTCCGGCCCTGAGCTTGGATTTTTGCTTGCCCCAAGCGTGATATATGGCCCCCCAGGCAATAGCCTCAGCAGTCATACATATAATCCGGAGATCGAGCGTGGATGCAACGTGGTTCATAGGTAGTTTGGCTCCTCTGGGCTGTTTCACCTGTGATAGCCACATGCTATAATCTGTAGCAGTCTGTCTGGCCTCACTGCTCAACCTACTCAACGCCGCGGAAGATCTGAGATGGGAACAACCAGAGAAAGGTATTAACCGCACGTACGGCCCAATGGCGCCTATCTCGCTAGGCTTTAAGCAATAGGGACAGGCACAAAACACAGGTTTTGATAGCATGGCGGTGGCCACATCGCAAGATAGAGGGGGGATATAGTCACGGTCGGTATCCCGGCTTTTTGAATCAAAGCCATGAGATCTCCGGGCTGTTGCTATAAGTAAAAGTCTATCGTCCAGCCGGGATCTCAAGGAATCTTTGATGGGATGGGCAGAATGGCATTGCTGATCAAAGGCTGTCATCACGCCTGCGGTTATTGAAGAACGGACTCGGTTATCAAACCCCTGAAGCGGGAAATAACGTGATTTTCATCTGCTACCTGATGTAGAGGGGGAAACGGAAAGGACTCACTAGATAGATAGGCTATACAGGGGCTAAATCCATGTGAAACGAAGGTATCCATTGGCATGACTTATATATGGGTATCATTTCTTGCTTTCCAGCATACATAATTTACTAGGTGGCAAGGTCGCCATGCAAGCGTGCATGTAGCGTACAACCCGACGCCGAGTAGGCAGAATACGGCTTTCCACACAGATCTTGGTTCGGGATGCGAAGGTGTATAGCGGCCAACGTTCAGTTTCAATTGAAATATACATTGATCCCTTAAAATGCCTGAATTTTGCTCAATATATGCCTTATTTTAGACCGCTTTCGCCACCGCTCTATACAGTGTATTGTCTGACGGATTAAAGCGACCTACATTTGAAGAATGAAGCTATTCCCACCACACAAATCATCAAATTGAGTATATCCCTAGCATTAAACCTCCTTCCGACGGTATAAACTATCAAATTGAGGCTATTCCTACCCTAAAAATCATCGTTTTTATCAAATCGCACGCGTTGAACCACCCTCTGATTGTACAAATCCCTCCTAACCTTACAGTCGTAGCCGTTTTAACTATACAAATCCCTCCTATCCTCGCCCTTAAGTCGAGTAGATAGAAAGGTAGGTCTACCTACTTACCATCGCGAAGTAGTTAAGTAGTACACGGGCTGACGGGAGGGTTGTAGCAATAGGGAAGAACAGAAGAATAAGAGTGCACATGTAGTAATTGGGCTCGGTAATGGTATTTCAGGTATCTTAATTTTATGCTGGATTTAAATAAGGCACCAAGGCAGAAATGCATATTTTAATTGAAACTGAACGTTGGCCGCTATACACCTTCGCAGTTCGGGATGTTGTGTAATAATCCAAGATGCTATTGTTGGGTGCCTCGATGGCTAAGGTTTGAATACCCCACTAGGACAGATCAGTGACAGATCGGGAACAGATTCTTTGGACACATACATTGTTCTCTCCCACACCCTTTCCTCTCTCGCCTCGTCTACTCTACTCAATAGGAACCCACACTCTCGTGTATATAGAGGGCCTCTGTTAATTCATATACGGGTGTGCATACTTCCAGATACTTTGCGATGGTTTAACATAGTGTGTAACAGTTCAAGGTATTGTGCAACATATCGAGATCTTAAACAATCGTCCGAGATGTTTCGCAAAAGTTTGAGATAATGTGTAACTGTTAGAAACTTAGTGCAACAGGTTATTTAGCTGGTAGCTAGTGAGACGTGTTTTTTTATGTATAATTTAAACCATGGTACTTGGTGAAATCATTCGAAGCATAACTCTAAAATAACGTATCATGGATTGCTGGACTAAAATCCCACTGGTGTCCAACCAGCTACATATATTGCCTACACACCGTGTACTTATGGAAAAGCAAATTGACGCCGCACTTTCTAGCAAGACCTGCCTGGTGGATGTCTAGCAGTGATGGCCATTATCCCGTGATATGTCTTAACCCCTTGATCATGGCACAGAGCAGTATATTGGGAGGTCACACAGATACAGCAGCAGCTCTTGCGTCAGCCTCCTCATGTGTGATTGTGAGCATCTCCAGATGCCCACTACCGATTGTAGGAATTTGACGGTTAGTAGGCACTAGTTTGTATTTGCGAGGAACACGACATCAATGTCCAGGGTATGCCGTAATTCCTCGATGGCGGACCTCTGGAGTGGGGGTGTGAATGTGTTACTCGTAGTGGAGAAATTGACAAGTGCTGAATTCTGTGAAGTAAATAGTGCGTCGTTAGCGGCTTAGGTAGGTACCTAGGGTCTCGTTATCTTACTAATCCTTGAATAGGCCATACCTTGTGTGGTCAGGGTTAGAGGGGAAATATTACAGTATGAATAATTGGAAGAAAAAAGGAAGAAAGGAGGAAGAAAGGAAAAGGGAGTTGAAATAGCAATTCCTAGACCCTAGTGCGTTTTCGCGAGGAAGGCGTAACTCTCCCTCAAAGAGAGCCTAAGCACAGAGAAGAAAGACCTAAGTATGACCAACAATCGCGGAATATAAACACCTAAGTCAATGTTACAACGTCCGCGGGATCTTATTATTTCTAGAAATAGAGAGGCCAATATAACATATACAGAACATAAGCGATAGCTGAAAGATGGATGATATCGGATAGAGATGGAGGGATAGTGAAGGATGATCTAAAAGAGATGTAAGTCCAAAGTAAAGTTAGACGCTGTTTATGCATATACTTTACGGTCCTTGACTAAGCCTACAAAATCGGAATGTGACGCTTCGCTAAGTCCTATGGGAGATAGCGTTTAGTACGGAAGTGTCTACAAAATATTATGATTATCTATGTTAGAAGTCCCGTGCTACGATAGTTGTATTTCTTGGATTGTATCTAACTTATTGGTAAGGACTTCCCTTTATACTAATCTCCAGTCTCCGTCCACATCGCTTCCTCAACACGGTCGTCATGTGGCTGTTCCTCCTTTAGGGTAAATAGTTCGCGGAGCAGCACTCGCATCCTATCTTCCATGGTCTGCAGCTCGTTGGGTGCCGGGGGTTGGTTTAGCTGCGCCCAGCTCATCATATCGCACACAACTTCTATAGTTGCACAGACTCCCCTAAGAACTCTGCCACTAGCAGCAGCTCTATCGCCGGCATCTCCACGCGTGACTGTGAGCATCTCTAAATGCCCACTGGAAATTTTTGGGATTGCCCGATTGGTAGGAACTTGTTTCTTATCAGTCTGGCTGGAATATCGGTGGCAGAGTGTGTATCTCACTATTTGTGGCGTGGTGAGTGTAAGTCCGTTTCGACAATGCTAGTGGGGTATAACCTGTAAAATCAACAGTGCTTTGTAGCTCTCTGTGTTGGTATATACTTCCTAATGCTTGAATGGAGCTTACCTTCCACGCAAGTTTCGTGGAGCTCTTCTGTTGTGACCTGCTGAACATAGCCTCAACGGCTTCCATAATGGCACATGCCTCTTCGGAAGTTTTGGCCCGAGCTGCAGTCCGGGAGTCTCCATCAGACCGCGTGACAGTCAACATTTCTTGATGCCCGTCTGAGATTGTTGGTATTGGCTGGCTGCTAGGCACTTATTTGCTGTGAGCGATGAACGCAATATTAAGGTTAAGTGGGGCTCACTGTTTAGGTTGGATCAGGATATGGACTGAGTATTCGGTGAATCCAGGAAGTGGATTAGAAGAATTGTTAACCTTGTAAAGTAAATCGGGCTTTGTTAGTTGCTTAGGGTACTGTAGGTCTTGCTAATTCTCGAATGGGTCATACCTTCTGTGGTGAGGCTTCGATGAAAGTTGGAAGTGCGGAGGTATGAAAGAAAGAAGGAAACAAGGATAGAGGGGTTTAAATAGAAATTCGTACAAGAAGGCGCATTTTCACGATGAAGGCGCAGCTGGCACTTAAGAAACGCGCAAGCGTAGGGAAGAAGTTAAGTATACCAACAATTATATAGTAGGGATACCTAACTCAACGTTAGAATATGCTCGGTCTCTTAATGATTCCATAGTTCGAGGTACCAATATAATACATACATAAGAGGAGCTATGAATGATAGACAAATGATACCGGATAGAGATTAAGGTGAGGGGCTGTGAAGGATGGATCACTTGAAAGAAAGGTAAGCCAGTAAAATTTGACCATATTTAAGTAGATACTTGATGGTCACCTGATTGAATAAACGCGGAATCGGAACACAACGTCTCTTAAGGTCTAGGTCAGAGGACCTTTGGTACTTAAGTGCATATATATATGAACTACTAGGGATGTGTTGAAGATCCCTGTATCACATGATAGAGTGGTTGTCACATGCCAGATGTAGATTGCTGCACCCTTTCCTCTCTTGTAGATTTCAACACACTTGTTTTCATCACAATACAATTCACATTTTATGGGCTATTTCATCTAGTAGATCTTACCAGGTTATGAGCCCGGGGGCTCGTTATTGATCTGCTTTAACCACCAGTCAATATCCTCGGGGTGCATTTTCAACGCACGTTAATCCTTGCTGTCTCTTCTTTACGTGACAGCTTCCCTTTCCGGTGACCCTGGTGACATTGGAGACTATATACGTCTCATGGAATCTTACGTTCCCTCGAAGCTTCACAATTCATCCGAAACCCGCGTTCATTAGAGACCATCGCAGTCTCTATCCCTCCAGTCGACATTAACAGCCGTTCAACTTTCTCGATAACATAACACATATCCGTCTTAATCATAGCGGACTCTCTAGGTAGTCCCTCGAATCCCAAATCCTCGGACTTAGTCCCTTCTCTGAAGGACGAGGAAACATAGAAACATTATATAGAGATTGGTCTCAATAGTATTGATCTATCATACTGGCTGCTCCTTATTGGACATAACAAGCGCCCTGACAACCTTCCTAGATTAGAAGACTCCTCTAACTATAAGATGTTCGAGGACACTGTAACGGAGATTATTAATGATAATACTCCCGCTTCGGCCTCCAATTCGGCCTTCACTTCTGCTCCAACTACTGCTTCTACTAATGCTGCCTCCAAGCAACCTACTGCTAAAAAGGTAGATGGCACAAAGCGGAAAAAGCTCCAGCAAGTATGGGATCAGAAAAATGCTATTGTCCTTTCCTACGTGGCCTCGTCACTTAACGCCACAATGCTAGTCTACATTCGCCGAGGCAACACTACTGCACAGGTTTACGAGGAGCTCCGTGGTCTCTGTGAGGCGAAAACCTTCTTCACTGTTGGCAACAAGGTCAACAAATGGGCTACATGGAAGTACGAACCAGGCATTAAACCAGAAGGATTTGTCACAAAGTGGCGTCACTTGTTCACTGAAATGCAAGAAGCTTTGCCGATTAAGCAACGTGTTTCACCTCGCTATGGCATCTACATGTTGGAAATCCCTATGTTCTTATAGTTGTACATGTATTCAATGTTGTGTTATGTAGACTTGCGCCCGCTTGTAGGGAGGATTATCCCCTCTAGTCGTCTCCAGTCTCCATCCAGATGACCTCCTCTACATAGGTGTCATGTATCTCCTCTTCTCGTAGCTCAGCCAGTTCTTGCAGTAAACCGCGCATCCGGTTTACCATTGACTGCAGCACATTTGCCATTGGGAGCTGATGGCTCTGTTGCCCGCTTAAACTAGCTCTAGCCGCTTCCATGATTTCAAATGCCTCTTGGAAGATTCTCTCACGAGTGGCAGCTCGAGAGTCTGCATTTGATCGGGTTATCGTCAGTATTTCAAGATGCCCATCTGAGATACTCGGTACGGGCCGGTTGTTAGGCACTTTATTCTTGTTAGCCAGAAACACGATATCAAGGTCCAAGGTGTGTCTCACTTTCTTTTCTCGGTGGTGGAGTAGGTGTGTTAATTTAGAAAGCGATGGAACTGCTCAAGCCTTTGAAGTAAATAGTACGTTGTTAGCTACTTGGGGTATCGTAGTATTGCTAATCCTCGAATTAGTCATACCTTTCAATGTGATTAAGGCTGGATCAGAAGGTTCAAAGTAGGGATGCTTTAAGAAAGAAAGAAAGACAAATGAGAGAAGAAAGGAGAGGAGTTTAAATAGCGATTCCTACGCCATAGTGCATTTTCACGGCGAAAGCGTTACTGTCACCGGGTCGCAGCCTCGGTCTTCAAATGGGTACGCTTCTTCTATGCTGGCAGCTTGTTTTTCGCCCTAAGCTATGTTCTAGAGGTTGGCCAGGAGGGGTTCGAAAGTGGGGAGGTGTTGTTTGATGAAGACGAAACTAGGTCCACCAGATCACGCTCCCTGATTCTCGGCCTGAAATACCCTGTCGCTTAAAGATATATCCAGGGGATGAGTCATAATGGATAGATAAACGATATCAGAGTGAGGTTGAGAGATCGTGAAGGATAGATCACTTGAAAGGGAGATAAGCCCAAAAAGGTTTGACCATATTTAAGCAGAGAATTGACGGTCACCTGATTGAGTAGCCACACAGAATCGGAGCATGACGCTTCATAAGTTCTACCTAGGTGAGAAAACCTTTAGTACCTAAGTGTGTATATAGTATACACAAACTACTAGAATGCTCCTATTAGAAAACCCCTATGTTCTGATACTTGGACATGTATTGTATTATGCAAAATTTGCGCCCCCTCGTCGGTAATGGCTTTCCTCTCTACTTATCTCCAGTTTCCAGCCAGATCACTTCCTCAACACGGGAGTCATGAAGCTCCTCTTCTCGTAGAGCAAAGATTTGGTCGACTAGCTCTCGCATCCTTTCTTCCATGCTCTGGAGGGTGTTGGCTGCCGGGGGATGACCGAGCTGCATCCGGCTTAACATCTCGGATACGGTTTGCATGATTCTACAGGCCTCTTTGAAAATCAGGGCCCGAGCAGCAGCCGGGGAGTCTGCTTGAGATCGCGTAAAGGTCAACATTTTCAGATGTCCGCCTGAGATTGTTTGTTAGAATTCGCTGGTTGCCAGGCACTTGTTTCCTGTTAGCGAAGAACGGAATACCAATGTTAGGGGCTTTCCTCACTGTTGAGAGAGTTCGATAGGGATATGAGTGCAGTAGTTCTTAAGTTGAGGAAGTAATAATATTTGTTAATCTTGAAAAGAAAATGGTGACTTGTTAGCTCCTTAGGGTGCTCTAACGCTCGAATAGACTCTACCTTTGGTGGTGAGAGTTTATTAAAGTTCGAAATATGGGAGGTTTGGAAGGAAGAAGGAAGAAAAGAGAAAGGAGTTTAAATAGCAATTACTACGACGTAGTGCATTCTGATGAGGAAGGCGCGGGAGTTACTTCGAGAAGGAGAGACCAACGCTGGTCAATCCCAGCCAATCTAAAAACACCCACACAATGCGTAAGTCACAACATGAATGAATAGCCTTGCACGTGTGGACGTATACCAATACCTAGTAATATGCAAACATAGTTAGGAACAACCGAGACCAAAATTTGATCACAACTAAAGATAAACAAGACGCTATGGGAACCATATGGCGATCTAGTGGCAAACACACTAACGCGAGTTTTCCTGCAGCTTTCTGGGTCGACATTACTTCTTATACAACGCATGGATACACTGATTGAGACAACCATTGGCACTTGATCCTCACCACTGCACTTTAAAAGGTCTTACAGATTCTCTCTTGAAAGTTATCTCATGGTGTCCATGAATTTTACTCTTGGACACAGAACCACTCGTATGAAATTCGCTTGTCCCATCCGCATTTCAACGGGCATTAAATGTCTTCATGAGCCCTTGGCCGAGTAAGTTCCTACAATATGTGTAGTCCTTGCGTACTGCTCCGGAATCCTCCCATATGCTGCGCGGGGCCCGACGGCAGTAGGCAGATTTAATTGACGTCTCCTCATATTATCTGATACCGCAGGTTTGCAGTAAACTTTTCTAGCAAGCGCTAAGCCTTGAGGGTAACGAATATAGAGGCAAGAATCCCCACTAAATAAGGAAGTCACATCGGGCAGGAGTAGCACTTCAAGTGTAGTAGTAATGGCCATAGCCTTGGCAGTATCTCAATATTCTCAGAACTAAGCATACTTAGACAACGTATATACTTGATGGCAACATAACACTTTAGTGAGAACTAGTAAATGAAAGTTTCAACGAGAAGTAAGGTGAACGTGAGAAGTATTATCCAATTAATAAAACATGAAGGCGATTTATCCGGACAAAGAGCATCTATAGTCGGTCTCCACCTATATCTACCAGGCCTACCCTAAATCCCCATTTTGGATATCATAAGTTGAAAGATTATGCAAGTTCTCTTTAATTCAGTATCTTATTTCGCTCCTAGACACCTAAACCCGGCCGATAGTGCCCCGAATTTGGCGCCCCATCTTTTCATTGTTTTGTAAATTCCGCATCTGCTCTAACAGTGCTTCCGCCGTATGCTGCACTTCCCTCAGGAGCGCAATGTTGGGACGCTGGGTATGTAAGGCAAGGCTAATTTCATTTTGCATTGCGTCTATCACGGTGCATACTTGGTTAAAGAGTCGTTGGCGAGTTGCTGCTCTGAAGCTCCCTCACTCTCGGGGCCTTGTTAGAAATTCCAGCTGCTCGCCACTAAGATCGGGAATAGGTGAATTGTCGCTTACTGGTTGCTCATGAGATTCGCTTTTGGACTGCAAGGGAAAGGGTTATCTCATTCCTCCTTGGAGGGTAGAATCTAATTTGTGTCAGTTGTATATCTTGTTGTTTCGTCGTGGGTCTTTGGTAGGCAAGGACTCATGCCTTTGGTGGTTTGCAATGTATGTGAGAGTTTCAAATGCGTGAGCATGTTGAAGAAGGAAGAAATAGTCTCAGTTGGAAGCATCTTAAATAGAAACCGATATGATATTTTCACAAACCGACTCTCACTTAACCTGAAAGAGCTAGGCAGCCCAGATGGTCAAGGGCATACAATGCTCGCGGCATAGAAATAGCCAGAAACAGACTGGAACCATCATATACATTTTAAAATGAATCATAAAGACGGTTTATTGTAAGCCATATTTGAATGCAAAATGAGGTTTGATACAGGGAGGGATCATTGGAGAATGGATTCGCTGAACTGAAGAACTTGGTCTATGTTTGACAAGCAATGTGGGCCTAAAGCAAACAAACATGTGATCCAGATACATGCATACCACTCCATCATACGTCTTTACGCGCTGTGTGAGACATAGTCCTAGCATTTTCACACATAATTAGTACCTAGGTTTGTTGCTTTGTGCGCACTTCTCCTTTACAGCTTTCCATTGGGACCAGGCTGTTAGCCGTATGGTCCAACCTAGTTTGAAACGCTCTTTTTGTCACAGTACCTGTAGGTTGATGAGGACGAAAGTGACATAATTCCTCCAGTTATTCAGATAGAGAGGTGAGAAACTATCACCTGAGCCAACGTTAAAAGCGAGTCGGCTAAATTGGAGGCACAACCAATCGTAGCGTAGGCCCCGGTTTGGGGTAACCTTATGAAGTGGACCCTCGAACTCTATCTACCCTGGGGCCGCGTCGAAGAACATCAGGTAGTATTCGGTGCACTATCGGCCTGTAGTCTTGCCGGTCACTTTCTCCTCGCTAAGGATTAGTAAATCAAACGTGTTGGGTCCAAGTGGACGCATTATGGGATAGGGAATAGTGAGAGAGTCTAAGGAAAATGTCTAAGCAAAAGGGGTAACTCCTAGAGAGTAGCGATTGGTATGATTTAGAGCAACCAAGTTACCTAAATCTTCTAATGCTTCGATTTGATATGTGACTCGAGCGCAAGTGACAGCAAATTTATTGAATATTTGTCGGCCAGGATTTGATACTGTGGGCTTTCGAATCAGAGATATATATGTGAGCGAGCGAATCCTGAGCCTGCACATTTCACTTCCCCTGATGCCAGGAATTTTGTTAGCACCCTACTGTGTTCATTAACCCCTATGGGGATAAAACAAGTAATATATATGCTATAGCCACTAGTAAGGTATAATTCAGTACGGACTAAGAAATGCCTAGTTTTAAACAGAGTAGAAAGTTATGTCGTGATCGTAATTCAGTCAAAGTTCCATAGCATGCTGTTGATGTTTGGCTTCAAAGTTGGTTTCTTAATCAACCTGTCTCCAGATCTCCATCTCCAGCGCACGTGTCCTTGCTTCTTCAGCCAGCAATGCGGCCGTTTCGGTAGCCAGCGAGGCCATACTGTCCTCAAGTTGGAATAGAGCGTGCAAAGCGGCACCGTCGCGAAGATCTACGTACTGGGCGATTAGGAATTCGGCCCTCTGTATCATCCATCGTGCTCGTCGGAATATTGCTCGCCGAGCATTTTCTTGCTGAGCCTGCAGGAGCCGGAGTTGCGTCAGCTGCTCGAGCTGCTCGTTGTTCGGGGTTGGCACTGGATGACCGGCCACTTCCTGCTTGTTAGAATGACTTAAAGAGACGGTTAGAACAGGATATAACTCACTTTTCTGAGTTTGGGGAGACTGTGCAAAGTTTCAATGTATGCCGCGTGACTTATGAGATGATCGGTCTTATCTTGGTGCTCTGTGCAGTATTGTGGAAGGAATGGCACCTCGATGATTGTGTGTGAGACTTTGGGGAAGAGTGTAAATTGTGAAAGGAGGAAGGAAAGAGGATGGCAATTCAAGAACTTAAATTTCGCTTCTTACGAGAAAGCGCACCTGCATGAGGAAGGCACGACAGTAGCTGCCACCTTAGGAAGGAGGGGTCATATCTAGTGAATCCTGATAAATGCCTTTGTACTAGTAAGAACCGCAAACTAGACCTCTCATAATGTTGGTACTTCCAAGACAAGCCGCATACAATATAGGTCAATTGATGCAAAGCCGATGCAAATATGAGACTTTTCAGAAGGCTGGTTGAAGAGCTACGTGAATAAAAAGTAAAAGCAAATTGAGGCATGTTGATGTGATGCCTGCGAATATAGCTGACGGCTCTCCTAAAATGATCGTTTCACTAGTCATCCGCTACATTGAAGCACCTATTAGGCCTCTTCCTTTTCTGGGCCAACGTCGGTGTAGATATGTAGGTTCCCTTTGAAGGTCCCTGAATTGTTCATATTTAATACAGTGCTGGGGCTCTCCATCTTGCGAGCCTCTTTCGAAGAGAATACTGGCTGTGTCGTAGCTACTATTGCAACAAACTGGATGTCCAAGACCCAGGCGCCTACATATCTAAATCCATGCCGCACTAGAACAAAAGGCGGCGTTTTACGAGCAAGAGGAAAGTGTCACATTGAGGAGATACTAGACTAGGTGGAGCTCAACTAGCGGTTATGTAGCAACCACTAGAATCCAACCTCTCCATTTCCCTCATACTGGAAACCCAGGTATACCGAGAGAATAGATATAGGAGTTCCGACAAGCCTTCATCGAAACTAAATTCTCATTAGACCGAGAAATCGTTGAAGAGCGATCGTAATGAAAAATAACGTCAACGTACAATCTAACGATCATCTTACTGGAAAATTAGCAGCGGTTATAGAGATCCGTATAATAATGATAAAGTTCTATAGGCGGCAGATTGAAGATTCTACTAAAGATAGACGGGCTCAAAGATTTGGATATCGTTGTAGCAAGTTTAATACTTGCGGCTTGCTGTAGAAATGAGCCTATTTTGAGACTTTTCTGACTTTATTTAAGCCTCAATGTTGCCGTTGGTTCTTTACCTAACTTGCCGCCATATCGCCCTCTCCGCACGCCGGTGGGGCTCCTCCTCGCCGCGGAGGCGTCATAGTTCGTCCACTAAGAATACCATCCGGTATCCCATACGCAGCAGAATATCATTTGCAAGAGCGTGGTGGTGGCGATCATTTGAGCTAATGACCGTTCGAACGCGCCGCATGATATCCGAGGCCTCGTTTATAACGTATCGCCGTATGTGTGATATCCTAGTTGTTTGCCGCGCAACCGAGTTAGCCGCTTCAGCTGCCTATCGGTGGGCGCTGGGACTTGTCTAAGATCGACCATTTTTCTGTTCCAGTTAGTATCACTTTGAGAGGTATGTTAGGGATGGAGGACCAACCGGAGTAGGTTTATTGCTCGTCACATAGTTTGCTAGGTTTGATAAATTTTTGACGTCTCGAGGTGTTGATAAATTCTAGCCTGTTAGAGGATTAACGTTTGTCAGCTTCTTGCTTCATCATGTATCTTGCTTGTCATCGGAAGGGACATATTTCAGTGTTTGCAGCTCAAGGCTATGGAGAGAGTGAGGTGAGAGAATGCAAAGTAGCAGTACGCTTAGAAGTAAATAAGACTGTCACGGAGAAAGAGAAAAAATGGAGCGTATTGAATATTAATTCTTCTACACATGTCGGTGGAAGGGGGTTGTCGCGAGGAAGGCGCGAGCGTCACATTGAGAAATGGTCTAAGCGCTGATGGAGCTTAACCAGCGGTTATATAGCAGGACCAACTAAAGCCCATAATTTAAACATCTCTGTTCTTGAGACTCATACTAGGGAAATGTATATAGGTGTTGTAATAAGTCGTACTCGACAGGAAATATTCTTGAATACACATAGAGGGCTGACTGACGATGATTGCAATGAGAGGTAAGATCAAGGTCAGATGTGAGGACCATCTCACTAGGAAGTGAACAGGCGAGTACAGAAGTCCATGAAGTAACCATAAGGCATAATGCTCTATATGTGCCAGAATAGTCTCTAGTAAGAACAGGTATAGTAGGCTCATTCGTTCTTCATTATATCAATGGAAAACAACATCTTAAAGATTCTACTCATGATAGGCGGGCACAAAAAATTCAATATTGTTGGAACCTCATCATTCCCTGAATGCCGCAGTTAGCTATTTATTTCACTTGACGCCAAATTTGCCTCTCCAAACGCCGATCTGCCTCCTCCTCTGCCTTGAGGCGGCTTAGTTCATTAAGTAGAAAGGTCATCCGAGAGTACATAGACATCAAAATGTCGTTCGAGGGGGGCTGATGGCAGCCGTCATTTGAGTTCATGATCGTGCGTGCGTGACGCACGATATTGGATGCCTCATTTATCATGTATCGCCCAGCTTGAGCTCTCCTGCTTGCCCGCGCCCGCAGCTGTGTGAGCCGCTCCAGCTGCCTGTCGGTGGGCGCTGGGATTGGTCCGAGTTTGACCATTGTCCTGTTCTTGTTAATATCACTTTTGGGAGGTAGTTTAAGGAAGGAATATTAACGGGGGCGTGTTTGTCACTGGCGTCAATAAATTTGGTAGAACCTTGGAAGAGTCCTCAAGATCCCGAGGGGTTGATAGATTCAAGCCTGTAGGAGGATTAACGTTTGTTAGCTTCTTGCTTTATCCTCAATGTTGTGTTGTAGTATTTAATGCTAGTCGGGTCATAAGCGAAACCTGTCTCCCTGTAACCTCCCAGGGGGTATGCGGACTTGGATCCTGAATTTCGCTTGTCATCGGAAGGTTCGTATCTTACTCTTTGTAAGTCCACGGTTGGAAGAGAGTGAGCGAGAGTACGTAAAGTGGAGATGTGGGAGATAAAGAGGAGAGAAGGAATCATCAATGAGAAGGGTATCGAATTTATTCTTCTCCGTTTGTGGGGGAAAGCGTGTTTTTACGAGGAAGGGTCGACTGTCACCTCAAGGAAGGGCAAAGCCTCCAGGGCTATAAGGCTTCAGCCCTAGAGACTGGCAACGCTTAACTGATGTAGCATTGTAGAAGCAACCTGAAGGCAACTTCCTTATTACCTTAAGAACTTGGGGACTCCTGATGCGAACTGAGAATCCAATGATAGTTGATAGAGGCCAGTAAATAGTGATATAAGTAGGAGGTTATAGATTTATATTTAACAATATCTAGGTATTTAACACATATGTAATAGAAATAAACAATGAAATTAAGTGGCCTATAAGGCCCAATTAAAACATAGAGTCTTATTCATAAAATTCTATGCCGTTCTAGAGCTGATATCATGAAAGGTCTCTGTAGTGAGCTACGCCTCCTAGCCGTCGATAAGCTAGGTCCATCTCGCGTGGTCTGGGTCAGGATGGTTGATCTCCCGGGCTCTCATGCTAAGCATCTGCTAGTGGAGATTGCTCATCCATAGTTTTATCCCCCAAGTCTTTTCATGCAGCTGTCGCATCCTCTATTAGGTCTCCCCAAGTTAGCCCATTAGAATAGGGTAGGTTTATTTGGGCGGATCTTATCGGCTCGTCTGTGTCCCGCAGTAGGGTTCGCAACGGTTAGGCGCGCCTGGTTACCCGAGGCGAACATAGGCAAGTTGACCGAGCGACACGGTCGTACATCCACTTAGGAGGGTCGGCGGCCTCTCTTTCCGGACCTATTTGGACAGCTAGTGAACCGAAATAGACGAGTGTCAACAAAATAGACGAGTGTCAATAAAATAGACGAGTGTCAATAAAATAGACGAGTGTCAACACACATAGACACTCACGGAATGAACACTGCGCACCACCGCCACCATAATGGCAACTGGCACAAGACAACACTGGAAACCAGCGCCCATCAAGAAAGCGACACGACAAGACAGGAAAGGACCGCTACCCTTGGCACACTGGGCGCAAATGTCTGCGGCGGGAGCCTCGTGGCCAATGAGGCAGCCCAACACAGCGCGAGCTTGCCGAGCAGCGGTGATCTTTGGAGAACGACCTGGCCGCCAGTCCAGAACGGCCCTCTTCAGATCCACGCAGCCCCATACCTTGTATCCAGCACTTTAGAAGGGCCTGAGAGTAGGGGGAGGGTGCCAGTCATTTGGAACTGGGACATGCCGTAGGTCGGCCACTTTCCGTGCCAAATTTCTGCTTGAAACTTGGTTGGATCCAAATAGTATATCTTACTGTTGATAAGTGAGTAAGTATCTGAGGGTTTGTAACAGGCATTTACGATGTGTTTTGGAACTATGAACTATCCATTGCTAGTTAGCCTGTTATCTCATCGCAAACGGTTGGGATAGGGTGGATTCTATCAAGAGAGGTCAGGTTCGTTCCCTCTCTTGCTGAATTCGTTGAGATAAATGTTACTGGTGGTGGAAGAAAGGAGAAGAGCAAGGGGGACCGGTACCACTCCCCGTACTAATGGAAGATAATGATTCATGAGATGTTCACGGTTTGTGTGTTAGCCAATGAGTCCATCATTTCCTCAAGTGTGAATAAGGCATGTAACGACGCACCCTGGCCAAACTCTCCGTACTGGCTTATCGAAACTTTGCCCGCTGTACATGAAATTCATTTCCGTGCCGCTCATTTTCTGGGCTGCGTGCCGCAGTAGCCCTCGCCGGGCCCAAGCGCGCCTGGTTTCCCGGAGGCGAAGCTAGGTCGGAAGTTTGTCAATTATTGAGAACTGAAATCGACCTTCGATCGGCCACCTTTTCTTGTGTTGGTTCGATTATGCGAACAATCTCCAAAGATCCCACTCATAGGCGCGGTCAGCTTGATGTTGTGAACGTAGGACAAACATCTGCTCAACCAGCTGCGCCATTGTCTTTTCGGAATTTTTCAAAGCTACCCCATTCAAATTTGTGAAGTACCCTCATCGCCGTCTCGTTATCTGCGATGCCTGCTTTAGCAAGGCTCGCCGCGCTTGTATTCGCCTCGTCGCCCGGGGGTGGAGCTCGGTCAATGGTTCCAGCTGAGAATCACTCAGCACTAGAATTTCCCTTTGGTCGGCCACTTATTCTTATCAGCTCTCTGCTTGAAACTCGATTAGACTTAAAGGGATGATATTTTACTGATAGAGGGAAATGGCAATCGAAACCTTTGACAGACGCTTTACTCTGGTTTACCAGAGAGAACCACCCTCTTTCGGTTGAGCATAACTGGACCGAGATTATAGCCTCTCTCGCATTAGACATTCAACGGCTGCGCATATTTGATATCCGCAGTGGTAGTCGCATAGGCATTCAGAACAATAGAGTCAGCAACCCATCGAGCACCAGCTTCAGTTGTTCTAGAGCGACCAAAGGCCTTCTCAATGATACCCAATGTAATCACTATGTTCAATTAGTTATACGCCCTTTTCACTCGATACCTTGGATTATGTACCAAAGTGGTGTGGATGAGACGGCGCTGAGGAAAACAGCAATGCAGAGACCACTATCCATTAGGTCCGCGATGGTCCGATAAAAATCCATGATCTCAAACTGGTCCATTCCGGCCTGCGTTCGCAGGGCGACCATGGCTTTGGGCTCTGCACTGGTCACGGTGGGCTTCGAAGTTTGAAAGAATCGTTCAAGAAATGGAGAAAACTCGGGGTTTGCCAGGGATTATCGGCCTGTGTACCAAATGAGGTCAGCGAACGGATCTACGCAGGTCCCCAAGCCTACATTGCCGTCTTGAGGAACCACGAGTAGAACGAACCCGTTACTATCCTCTTTACCATTTCAATACCTGGAGAATTTGATAATTATATGAATAATATAATGAGAGAGGATGAAGGCACAGAGATCTATATTGCAGAATCTTTCTAGATGGTATTTATATTCCTATACAACACCAAACGAACTAGCAAACAACAGGTCTTTCATGAATGGAGCCAGTAATATAAAGTCACTAATGCAAGAACATGATACAGATGTAGATAAATGAAGAGCACCTTGACAGGAAGTAAAGCATTATGGGGGTAAGAAATCTAGGTCATGACATTGATCTCTTCACATACCAGACTCTCTCCCCAGTACACACTTGCTCTAGTAGTCCGGTATAATAATTATCCGCTGAGAAGTTTAAAAAATAAATAAACAAAAAATATTAAAATAATAATAAAATAATATTTGAATAATTCCAAAAACGGATTTAATGTATTTTCTTTTTAAACTTTTCCTAATTCGCCACCGTCCACAGGTGTTGCCTATAAATACCTTCAAATTTCCCAGTCCCTTCATTTTCTTTTCTCCTTTCTCCCCATCCCAGTGCACGGGTCTTACACGCATCTATGAGGAAATATCCGAGATCGTGTTATTGCTAGTTGAAAACTACCAATGACCCCTTCAAGTGGGCCTTCGGGCTAGCTTGGGAATTTTTGAAACCTCCAGTATCATGAAGTCTTTTTCTTTTCATTACTTGTTACCCATGCGGTGGCTCTTAGAGAAGAGAAGAGATGATCTTGAAGACTCCTTTAGCTATAGAATTCCTGCACATTCCCATGCCGCGTCTTAATTTTGTTGTATGTAGATGTTGTCACGTTCTGCCCGACCGTTACCTTATGTCCCTTGGTTAATTATTACTATGAGAAAGTATCTTTCTTTTGTCAATCTTGTCTAGTAGTACTCTGCTCTGTTCCCATCTTCACCAAGCTCCGTCATCTTGCCAAACGAAGATCATTCCCGATTTGTTTACTAAAGGGTGCCCACTGCGGGACGGGCCGTTGCGGCAGCTAGGTACCTACCCACTTAGCTGCAGATCACTAAGTTGAGCTTGTGATTTTTTCGAGTGAAAGATCAAGGTCCCCGTAAGTTATTAGCGAGTGAAGCAAGGTAATCCACAGACTACTGAGGTATTGACCATATGTGACCAACTAGGATGCGACCGGGGAGCTACTGGATACGAAGTCTTGGTGTCAAACATGAATGACATGAGTATACTCTTTGACAGAAATTCTGGCCTAACAACAACCATCGGAAACTAACATTGTACATGTTTATAGATCTGCCCTGGCACAGCATCTTTACCTGTTTGTCGACGCGCATCCTTACCACCTTTCTCGTCACTCAATATCCCACTGGAGGCGAGAGATCCCCTGCGGACCCCCTGATCACGCTGAGAACACATCGAGTACCCAGCACTTGGCTCTTGTCGTGTCCGCCATTGGAATGGTGGCAGAAACATGCCAGGCGAGCGTCCTGGTAACACTCAACCTTGAAACTGGTTGCTCAAATCTCGCGCTGGCTCTACCTTGTGTAGCCGGGCGCGTTTGAGCAGTTCAGTAAGGGTGTGCTCGGCCAGATCACTCGGTCGTTTGTTGTGTCCGTGGATTCTTGTAGCCCTGCAGTCATAATGGCGTCGAGCTATGAAGACTTACTTGTTGATTCGCAAATTGTCCTGTGCAACCGGTTTACTTAGGAAGTCCTAGTAACCGTTAACAATGTAAGCGTTCTTCAATATCACATCAACCACTGGGGATCGGGAGTGCAAAAGAAAACGCCTGTACAAGATGTGAGACTTCTTGTTGACGGCAGCAGCCTCTCCTTTGGAAGCAAACTTCAAAGTACCCTGTGTAACTAATTCTATAGGTTACAAAGGTGGCTAATCTATCATTGAATCAGAGAAACAACCGGCTAAGTCAACTACGAAGCACCACAATGGTCCCCTTAAACCATGCCAAGAGATCAATTGGCTAGCAATCGAAGCCTTTCGAAGATTGGGCAACACAGCGGTACACCCTACTATACTCACTGCCTCCTTATTTCACTACATGAGTGGGATGATGAAGGAACATATGTCTACAATACTATCATAATACGGATTCGTGGCTGGTGTGTTGATTCTGCGCTGGCGTCATTGTTGGGACAGATACTGGGGCTCCTGCTTCGTGCCATGCTGAAGAATGGGATTAATGGGCAAGAAGTTAATTAGTACTTGTTGTGGGAGATGGTGCGTTTACACAAGGATGGCAAGGTTATAAGCCTGACCAGAATATTCCAGAATAATCACAATGAGAAGTAAATTGCAACTTGGTGAAGGGGTCAGCTCGATGAAGACTGACCTCACTGAAAAGTCAGCAGGAAGTGAAATCATACGTCGCCTCCACCTCCTTAGTAAATGAGTGTTTTAACATTTGATTTGTTATCTATATTGCAAGAATTCTGAATAATGACATGAAAATCAATACTGATCGAGATACCGGTTGTCGAGGGAGGCGGATATGGTGGAGCATTCATGACTGTATGCCTGAACACGAGTCTGAGGACATGGCCCTTTTTGTCATCGGCCCCATAAAAAATCTCGCCTTCATTCAAAGGTTCAAGCATATAGGAATAGACCCGTTTCTCCAATAATAGCAAGGGAACTCTGTCGTGTTCATAAGATTGCGATTCTGTCACAACTGACGGTCCACTGAACCCTAGACCATAGATGAAAGCCTGATGCCCGCGTTTGATTTCCCAGTAATTAAAAGGTGAAGGAAGGATTGTACATTGGGTCATTTACAACAATAGGAGATAAAGATTCAAGGGCTTTTCACCGTTTGTGATTTGGTGGTATCAGTATGGTTCCCTCAACGAATTCCCGCCCACAGACGCCGCTCCACTTCGCGGTCAGCTCGATACTCGGCAGCTATCCGCAGTATCTGCTCCAAAAGTGCGGTCATTCTTTCTTCCGCCTCGAGTATGCCTGGCCCATTGTTATTGGCCAAGTGGACTTCTGCACGACTGAGTATCTGCGATGCCTGCTGTAGTAAGGCTCTCCTCGCTTGCACCCGCCTCGTTGCCCGGAGGCGGAGCTCAGTCAATACTTCGAGCTGAGAATTACTCGGGACTGGAATGGCCCTTTCATTGGCCACTTTATTTTGTCAGCTTTGTGCTTAGAATATGGTTAGATTCAAGGGATATCTTACTTGTAAGAGCTCTTGGTTTCAGAATTTGAGCAGAGGTTTCTCAAGATAGTGTAGATCTGTACTAGACACGGCCCTAGTTAGCATCTTTGTCTGGTGGGGACTCCCAGGTGTAGGGTGGATAAACTTTACCTCTCTTGGAAGTATTGTTGTGATAAATGTAAAACGGTGGTAGAAGAAAGGAGAAGAGCGAAGTGGACAGATACCTAGGGAATTTTAAATAATTATTGCTACGAGATATTATATGTATACCTTTCCGTGGAAGGCGCGACTACTACTTCACTCTAAAAAAGAGGAATAAACCCCGATCTTAACCAGTACTTATACTATGGTGATAACCCTACTGACAGTTTTGTATATTTAAAGACACGCTTCCCAATAGGTATATAGGGTAGGCATATACGCTAATCAAGTGAGAGATAACTGAGCGAAAATTGTATAGACCGAAACTTGTTTTCTGAGTCATGGTATAGGTATTCTACTGTACTCATAAGGTTGGCATTCGGTCACTACTGAAGGTCCACTGAACAGTAGAACAAGGATACAAAGGATATCCCGATGCCCATAACCATTTTCTTGATTGTCTCGCAGTTGAAAGCTGGATAAAAAGAGTACTCCATGAATAAAGGGATGTGAGATGTTCACAACATGAACTTTGGTGCAATAATTGTGATTTTCGGTTTGGGGATACTGAGAGGGACAACTTTCTCGATGAACTCAATTAGGGAGACTGGGTTACGGAGTTTGATTTGATAGGTAAGAGTTGTAGGAGGGTTTTCCATCATGTCACGACCACCACCAGGTCTGGATGACCCGAATTAACTCATCGTTTTGTGCGACTCTGGACCGTGAAGCCCGAACTTCTCTGTTGAGCAACTTGTTTGTAAATGCCATTGAATCCAGTCCATGGGATTTCAACTGCTGCTCTTTGTCAAGGACAGCTGTAGATTTGGATGTTGAAGGTATGGTTTTGCGCGCAGCCTGCGATTTCTTCCCTATCCCTGGTTCCTAGCCAACCATCTCCAAAGCCGCCGCCCAATACCGCGGTCAGCCTGGTGTTGGTACTGTAGAGCCAACATCCGCTCTGCCAACTGAGCCATAATCAGCTCGCAGTCCCTCAAGGCTACCCCATTTGAGTCCCGGAGGTGTTCTTGGGCACGCTGCATCGTTGTTGCTGCCTCTTGGAGTATGGCCCGGCGAGCCTGGGCGCGGCGATTTGCCCGAAGGCGGAGCTGAGTAAGTTCCTCAAGCTGCCAGTCAATTAGGACTGGGATGTGCCTTTGGTCGGCCACTCTTTCTTATTAGCTTCTGCTTAAAATCCGGATGGATTCAAGTTGTGTATGTTACTTGTTCGAGGGGGTTGATCTCCAGTAGGGGTCGTCGATTGTAACGTAGAGGTGTGCTGAATACGGTGCTAGTTAGCTTCTTTGTCTTATCCAAACTCTTAGGTGTAAGGTGGATGAACTTTAGCTCTCCTGGTGTTGAGTTAAGATAAACGTAGATGGTGGTTGAAGAAAGGGTAAGAGGAAAGAGGATAGATTACCTAGAGTATCTTAAATAGCTATTACCACGAGAGATTGTGTGCCTTTACGAGGAAGGCGCGAGTATCACTTCACCTAAAATGGAATA